ACATGGATGCGGCGTGGGTACTCTTCTGTGTTTGGTGTCCAAACAGTAATTGCGTACGACACACTCAAGGTGGTGGATGTGGAGGTGTTATCGAAGCATTGCAACCATTGCAAGGTTTGGGACAACAAACGCGACACGAAGACAGTCACGGCAGCGGAGTTTGCCACCTGGAAGGCTGCACATGCTGACAGCTGCGACATCAACACCAATGTCTCATCGCCAGCCATGGAGACTGCAGCAGTAGTGAAGATTTGGAATCGATCTGAGGCTCTCAATGGCCTTCGCTACACATCCTACATTGGCGATGGTGATTCGAAGGGATTTCAAAAAGGGTTATGCAGACAAGGCCAAAGAGACGGAAGGCGTTACGTACTGTCCTGGTGGTTTTTGAGTGCTAAAAGTTGCCCTTTTTGGGGGGTACCGTGTGACCTTTGGTACACCATATCTCCAGTTTGGTATGTCCAAATCCAGTAAACTATATATGTATTCATATCTACGTCAAATTTGCAAGGTGCTCACGTCTCTACTTTTGAAGATTTTGTCACATCTACTGACGTATGGGCACAGAAAGATAATTGGACCAACGGCGCGTTCTTTACGTGATTTCTTTATGTGTGTGTCAGCCAGATTCTTTACATCTAGAAGCATAAATCTCTTCGTGAGCATCTAGTATTGAGCAAGAACACTCATTATGTAACATAAGTATCTGGCTATTGCTAAAATCCTTGCAGAAAACTTGTACCAAAAATTTGTTGACCGCATTTTTGCGATATTCTTGTTTGGTGTGTCCAGCATCCTGTTCTCCAAGTCGAAATGCATGTGTGATGGTTGTTCAAGTGTTATCATGTTATTATCTGACCAGCATGTGTAGAAAATTTGGTGCAAAAATAATGAGGGATGCCAATGTTACAGACATTTGAATGCATGTATGTTATCGGCTGGCGCCGAAGGTAGCCTGCCACCTTAAGACCGGCACTGCCCTAGCATAAAGCCTCCAAATGTGACCTTGTCTAGCACAATCGATGTGTGAACTAGCACTACAATTGTACGTCCAGATGAAAGTGTATGCTGGATGCCACCGTTGCCAGAAGCGTGTTTGGCACTGTTAGCTGCGTTTACGGAGTTGTTCAAACTGCACTGACTTGTACTTTGAGCTAAATATAGCATTGTGCACATTTTTTTGCAAATTTGATTTCCAAATTTGCAATGCTTGTCTTGAAGTAACTTAGTTAGTTCAATGTCAATGTGTTTTAAAAGTTTCCACCGTGTTTGCCCTGTGATACTGCCATATTCCGAGTGACTGCATAGGGAAGTCATTATTTCCCATCGCATGGATTGACATTTTTGTAGCACTATCGGCACTGCTAGCATTATAACTAGCATAATCGCTCCAAATAACTAGCAGTGCTAGTGGCACAATTTCCTCATAATATAACTAGCATTATCCGCCGGTGCCTAGCTACCGTCCTCCTCCTTCCTCCACCTTATTTTCTTAATTGGCCTCATTATGGCATTCGCTTCCATGTAATTGGGCTTGTAGCTCGTGTGTACTTGCGAATTCAAATAAAAATATACATACACACATATGATACATACTGCCAAAAGCAATAACAACTACAGTACAGCAGCTAGCAGCAGCAACAGCAACTGGTGCCCGGGCCAGGAAGTCGTCAAATGCCGACTCCCTGACGTAATGACCGGTACTCTACTCTTATTACCATGGAGAAAATGGCGTCGGGAAAGCGTCACTGAGCCGAGTCAGCGCTGATGCATGCATGATCCAGTCAGCTTGAAATGACTATGTGAGTATGTAGTGCGATGATGATGATGCTTTGAGTCTGACAAAGAAAATTGAAATTTCATGAACCAGCTTTGCAATTTCGAAACTTTTGGTGTTGTGTACATTGCAAAGTCACTACAGTAGAAAGTGGAGGATCGTGTGTGTTTTTTCCTTAGTCGTCGTGGGCAGACGTGAGGTCTGCTTGTAGACCACGATGGAAGCGAACAGTAGCATGAACAGCAGCGTGAATGTCTCTGACAGCATAAATGGCACGAATGGATCCAGCCTGGCCAGCAGCGGCATTATGGTTGCGACCAAGGAAGGAATAATCATTGCTTATACAGCTCTGGTTGTTTTGGCAGTTCTTCCGATCATCATCGGATCCATACGCTCTGTAGAGTTTCTCAAGAAAGCCAGAGTATCGAAAAAGGTACAGGTCTCAGCATCAATATATCACAGTATCTGTACTGTCCGCCATCAGACACGATGCTGAGGCATTCATCATGGATATAAGAAACAGACTTTCCTATTACAATGGCTGGTGCGTGTGTGTACGTGCGTGTGTGTATGTGTGTGTGTGTGTGTGTGTGTGTGTGTGTGTGTGTGTGTGTGTGTGTGTGTGTGTGTGTGAGAGAGAGAGAGAGAGAGAGATCAAAAATTCACTGGTCCAAGAAGAAGAAAAAAACTCCAACCAGCTGTGTGGTGCAATACCAGGCTACCGTTCCTCAGCCTTTTGAATGCTGTATTCCAGTACAAGTTGCTTTGCCTTACATGGCTTATTCGCTATCCTCTCTTCAGCAAAGGGTGCGTGTGTGTGTGTGTATGTGTGTGTGTGTGTGTGTGTGTGTGTGCGCACGCGCGCGCGCGCGCGCGCGCGCGTGCATGTGTGTGTATATGTGTGTGCCTTTTGAATCTCTCTCCCCTCTTCGGGGAGACACGCCACCAGTTTTTGGCAGTATGTAGGTACAAGTGTGTGTGTGTGTGTGTGTGTGTGTGTGTGTGTGTGTGTGTGTGTGTGTGTGTGCGGCACAAGTGTTTGTTCCATGTGTGTTCATATCCTGTGGGCACTGACATGCCTGTCTTCTGTTTGTCTGGTGTACTTGTGTGTGTGTGTGTGTGTGTACACGCGTGCGTGTGTGGGTGGGTGTGTCGTTGGGTGGGTGTGTGAATTGGTATGCCGGCTGCTTTGCTTGTGTATCCCCAGGCTGGTGAAGATGTTGACGTAATATCCACCAAAGACGCTATGATGTTTCCAGTGTTTGCCAGTTGTGCTTTGCTGGGTCTCTATATTGTTTTCAAGGTAAAGACCGTGTTCAGCAGATGTGTGACTACAAATAGATTACTGATGGTGTGATGTGCTTGCAGCTGGGCTAGTAAGCAGTACGGGTACACTGACTGCAGCTCTCTACAAGACACTATGGTCTCTGTGATCCAGGACTGGAGCATTGCCCTACGGTTGTGGGCATTGAAATACGTTGAGAAGTCAAACGGCCACGGGGCATAGCCGCGATCACTGCTGGTCCATTCTTACCTTTTTTTTACTGGAACTCAATTGTGTACTAGTGTACGCGCTATGGCAGTAAGGGCGCAGGGCCCGGTCAATCCACCGAGTTTCAATGTCCATAACAGTACATGTACTCTTGTAGGCTGGTGTAGTGCTCATACATTCAGTAGTATTACAATGTAGTGCTGCACCCAGTGCCCAGTAAGCACATCGTGCATTCGGGCACTCAACACTTGACTTGAGGGCACGGAGCACTATAGAAGCCATGCCACTACGAGCTATGCCATCATTATCTGTGCTATTTTATGGAGTAACTCGCACTTTTTGCCGCTCAACAGAAAGCATATGCGGTGATGTCATTTGAAGCATATGCATGTACGATGATGTCGTTGCAGTCTAATCCCTTCTTATGTTTGTTGGTACATGTATTAAGATGTTGGATTCGCTAATCCTGTTTGAGCTGACTACTGTGCGTGTTGTCTGTGTGTTGGTTCACATGCAGGCTCTAGGCGAGCAGTATGTCAACTGGCTGTTGAACATCTATATTTTCATCTTCAGTTCATTGGCTCTGTCCCGTGCTTTGAAGTGAGTTTTGTCTCTGCTGCCGACCAAGCTGTTCCAGTTTGCTGTTTACTGCTTTTCTGACTGACAGACAGGCAGAGACAGACAGACAGAGACAGACCGACAGACAGACAGACAGACAGACAGACAGACAGACAGACAGACAGCCATTTTGTAGCATGCATACTACATTTAGTGTGGTTGACCGGTGCAGTATTTCTTTGTAGGGTTCAACATGGTGACGGTGCTTATTGTTGGCTGCTGAGGATTCGTAAAGTCATTGTGCTCTGGCACATGCTGTGTACTTGTTGTTGCTCTACGGAGGGTCAGGGTGACAAAGGCCATTTAGCAAGCAACGCAAGTCATGTGCATATCCTCTACTCTAGGCTATCAGTGTTTGATTCTAAGATGTGCTTGTGTATGTGTGTGTGCATGTGTGTGCGTGCGTGTGTGTGTGTGTGTGTATGTGTGTGTGTATGCGTGTGTACATCATTCAGTGTCATCCTCCGTCCCATTCTGTCGAAGCTGGTGCCGAAGCGCTCGTTCTACTTCCTGGTGGCGGAGATGGAGCCAACCCAGCAAGGAGAGCTGCGCAAGCAAATCTATACCGTCACCGGTGCGTTTGACGAGAAGACCAGCAGAGCTGAGAGCTACGCGGAGACTCAGAAAGAACAGGAGGCAGAAGAAGTGGCAGCCGGCAGTCGCAGCTCTGAATCAGAGTCGGCAGAAACATCAGACAAGAAAGTTCAGATCAAAGACCCCAGTAAGTACAACATGCCTTGTTTGCATCCCTGAACTGGAAAACCTGTCCTGGACAGGGACATTGGCAGTCAGTGAGTAGTCACACGATCAAGTCTTTGTGTTTTAATTAGTAAGCGATGGTCGCCATTGTTACCATGGCTACCTGGCTATCGAAGTTGCAGTATGGCTCGGTCATGGGGATATCGCTCTCCTTGCTTGACTGAGAGCGGTGGTGGTGGTGAAAATGTTCCCTGCTGTGCTTCTCTCTGTTTCGTGTTCGTCTTATTGCAGTTGTGGCGGAGGAGTCATTCGACTTCATCTCGGTCATCTGTCTTGTCCTGGCGTTCGGATTCGGTTGCTGGTACCTCTTCCAAAAGGTAAGTTACACTATGAGTATATGGTGCTGTGCTGTGCTGAGTCTGTTTGCTGGTGTTGCTTGTCCAGGATAGGCGTGTCTGTAATGCCATGTATGTCCAATGTACTGTACTGGATTGCATCCTGTGTGTGTCCATCGCTTTCTTTTTCGAAAGAGCATTCCTACTTCTGAATAAACACTTCTACATGTACATTGTATTCTAACTTCCCATCTGATATTACTCTGCGTGTGTGTGTGTGTGTTTCTATAGCATTGGTTTGCTAACAACGTCCTCGCCTTCTCCTTTGCCGTCAATGGAATTGAGATGATTTCCCTGAATAAGTAGGTGATGTGCTTTCCCTCGTGCTACGGGGGTGTTCCCTGTGTATGTCTTTCCAGCATCCATGTGTCTGTTTTGTTGATTTTGGAGTGCAAGCATTGTGTGTCTGGTACACGGAGAAGTGAATTTAATCCAATGTTAGTGACAAGGCTGAGCGGGGATTCAACTTGACACTGTGTGTTGTGCCGGTAGCTGTTATGCTCTGTGTGGTGTATACTAGTGCGCCCTGGGGGCTTGCTCGTGTGCTTTCGATCACGATAACTGTTTAATTTGTGTGTGTGTGTACGTTGTGTGCTGCTGCAGGGTGACTAATGGTTGTATTCTGCTCGGCGGTCTCTTCTTCTATGACGTGTTCTGGGTAGGTTGACTGATGTACTGGCATTCTTATGCACTGCATCCTGAATATACGGTGAAACCCTGTCTATTCACTGAGTATAAAATATGGATAAGAAGAACTCCCATTATTGTGAACAAATACTGCCGACCCGTTGGTGTTCGTCCTAAAGAAGTTTGACTGTATTTGCACTAGTAGTGACATCTGTCCCCTTGCCCAATCCTTGTGCTACAAGTACAGGTGCATGTCGTGACTCGTATGCCCTGTGTCTTCTCTCTTGTTCATCAACAGGTGTTCGGTACTGATGTGATGGTGACCGTTGCAAAGTCCTTCAACGCTCCCATCAAGTGTGAGTTGTGCGTTGTGTGTGTGTGTGTGTGTGTGTGTGTGTGTGTGTGTGTGTGTGTGTGTGTATTCTTCAGCCTTGCAAGCTGTTGAATGGTGCAATCCCAGCACAAGTTACTATGGCTTCTGCTGTAGCATCGCTATTATCGCCTCCGGCGATGGGCGTCCAATGGTCCAATGGTGTGTATGTGCATGAGCGTATTGTTTCGATATTCATATATTGGAAGCTTGTTTTTCAAATGTGATTTCAACTAAATCATAAAATGGCAACGGTATCCTGTTCTACAAGAGCTTCATGTTCATCTCACTTGTTTTCAAATGTCTTACAGTGGTTTTCCCCATGGATCTTTTGGAGAATGGATGGTTTGCGAAGAACTTTGCTTTGCTTGGTCTTGGCGACATAGTCATCCCCGGTGAGTGTTAGCATACATGTGTGTGTGTTGTTGGTAGTTGTAAATACTTCTGTATGGTAGTGTGTGTGTGTATGGTAGGATATTGACTTTATCCATTCGGTGCCGAACACTGCATTGCTATACTGTACTGTCTTGTGTAGAAGCCTGTTGTAAATAGTACTGAATACCAACCTGATTTTCAAGATGGACTCTCAGCAGAAAAGTCTGATTATAGTGTTTGATGTACATAGAAACACATGATTTGAAATACCGGTACATGTAGTAGCTAATGGGGTATTCACACGACAGGCAAATCCACGTGCACCGGAAAGTTGCAGGGAGTGACATACGAGAAAAGTGACTGTGTGGATTCACACAGCTGCACTTGACGACAGGCACGTTTGCATTTTTGAATGCTTCACCGACCAGTAGCCATGGGAATTTCAAAATTTCAAAACACGCATACAATTATTATCATGTTCTAAAGAGCTGCGTAAAAAATCAAGTCTTGTTTCGCGCTTTTTGGTGTAAATGTACTCGTGCACGCCACGATTATCGTGAAAGTGGGCCCCCAGCTCGCTTGCACTTTTCAGCCACTTTTCTCGTTCACAGGTAAAATACCATAGCAACTTTCCGGCACACGTGGATTTGCCTGTTGTGTGAATACCCCATTAGCCCTGGCATCGGCCTCTACAGGAAGAAGCCCACCCGTTTCATGTGACATTACGTTAGTACATGTACACGTATGGATGGCCTATTTGCTTTGCTGTGGTTTCTTTTTGCTGGACAGGTGTGTTTGTGGCTCTTCTCCTACGCTTTGACACCAGGTAAGGCACTCACACTAGGGAGGCTCCGGAGTACGATTTTTCGTGCCAAAATCCGTAGAGGCGCTACGGATTTTTTATACGTCATTTTCGAGCAGTGAAATGTTCCGGAGTACGAAACTTCTGTGTTTGCCGTCATTCCCTAGGCTACGATCGCAAACACGTCACATTCCCGCGCTATGCCTTTTTATTTTGAAAATTTGTACCGAAATCAAAACTTCCCGCGGAAAATCGATGTTTCTCATACCAAATTTGTACGCGAAAAATCTTTCTGCACCCGATGACGCAAAATCTCCATGCGAAACATGGTTCGTATGAAAGCCAGTCCACACGGGTTCTCCGTGCCGAAAAATCGTATGGAGTACGCCTGGAAAAAATCCGTACCGCCCATACGGATTTTGGCCCGGAAAATCGTACCCCGGAACCTCTCTATTGTTGGAAATTGTATGTGTACGAACGAGTGTTTCTTGGTGCTTTGCTACTTCCGGACGAGGATTTGTCAATGAGCATACTGATGATCACTTGTACATGTACATGCGTCAGTCATGGTTAGTTTCACCTTTCACCTTGGTAATTTTAGCTGCTTGTCCTACGTTCACGTGCCCCATGTCTCCGTTATCATCCTACACGTTCTAGAGACATGGTGATTTGTGAATGAACCAACTGTGCTACATTGTACCAGGTTACTGCATATCCCGTGCCTCATAATGACACAAACGGAAACTTTTCATTTTTTAAATAATATCATGTTTGTGCAGCATGGATGCTGTATGTGCGTTCTGGTTCATGAACTCTTGTCCAATATCGTTACTGTGTGTGTGCTCTGGTCTGTTGTGTTCGTTTGTTGCGTGCTGTAGTCGTACCCAGGGTGGACGGCTGTACTTTCTCACGTGTTTGTTTGCCTACCTGGTCGGCTTGCTGACCACCATTTTCATTATGCACTACTTCAAGCACGCCCAGGTAAGCTATGGCCGCTTGATCGTTTTTCTCAACATGTCATTGTCTTTTGCAGCTCGCTTCTGTTGCTTAGTTCATTTCCAATGGCAGTGTTGTGAGATTTTCTGCAGTTTGTTGCGCCCTTGTGGCTCTTCTCCATTGCCATCTGCATTGTGCACGGCCCAAGACCAACAACATACGATACTGAAGCACTGTATACAACTGTATCTGTAAGCAAGAGTACGAAATAACCCAAGGGTGTGCAACTGCCGGCTTTTTCCATCTCTTGTGCTCCGGTGGCGAAGTTTCACACCACATGACACGGCTCAATAGGTTATGTGAGCGAACCGTGCAAAGTCACCACTGGAGAGAAAAGTTGTACCTAGTGCAGAGCAGAAAGCAACCCTGTGCCCATCTTGGTGCGGGCAATGTGTACGGATTGGTCACGCGATATGAAATTCTGCCGTCATGCATAAGAGCTGCACATTCTTGGGTTTAGGCACTCTTGCTGTATTGTGTGAAATCTCTCTCTCTCTCTCTCTCTCTCTCCCTCTCTCTCTCTCAAACACACTCTCTCTCTCTCTCTCTCTCTCTCTCTCTCTCTCTATGTTGTCTTTATTGTTACCAGCCTGCTCTGCTGTACCTGGTGCCAGCTTGTCTGGGATTCCCGTTCATTGTTGCACTGCTACGAGGAGAGCTGTCGCCACTGCTCAGGTCAGTCCATGATCTATTCTCTGCACCTGCTCTGTATCAGCCAGGGCTCGTAGCCGAGTGATTGCAGACTTGGCGGCAATCATTATAAGGTCCCTAGTTCAAGGCCTTCACTGTCAGCAGGAAGCATGCTGTGCTAACACATAATCATGTTGATGCGTGTATGCATGCAACACTGTACATGCAATGTGCACTACTGACGCCCGCTGTCAACTGACTACTCACAACTGGGAGTGAGGGCAGCATGGCGTTCTATGCAGCTAATGAGAGAGGTTTCTGCTCTTCTTTGCGTTCTTGATTGTGAGATTCGTCACGTCACTCTCACCTTTGCATTCACCACCAATACCAGGTATAGTCAGGCATAGTCAGGTATAGTCAGGTATAGTCAGGTATAGTCAGGTATAGTCAGGTATAGTCAGGCATGGTGCCGGTGGCCTGGTGTAATTGAAACTTCCTAAAGCTGCTTGTGTTTTGTTTGGAACACATTGTATAGCCAGTCGTAGTGTGGATATGCTAGTTTACATACTATACATAACTGTATAACTGCATGTGACAGTGTAGGTGACTGTGGGTAAGTTAAAGGGGAAGTTAAGGCAAAAATTAAAATTTCACCAGTTGTAGTCTTCGGGGTGCTGAGTCGAAAGGTCGTGGTCCGAGGAAGCTGAGACGCTCCCTTCCTACTTGAATCCCAATCGAACTCGCGCACTTCCACCGAAACTGGGTGACTGCGCCCTACTAGATGGGGATTTGTATGCAAAATGTCACTAAAAGCGCCATTTCGTTCTTATAAAAGCACGGATGACCGCCATTGGCCCATATGTTTTAGTCTTTTGGACTCTGAGTCGACTGGTTTTGGTCCGAAAAGGCTGCGATGCAGCGTTCCTCCTTTATTCCCAATCGAACATGGTTGAACAAGCGGTCACGTGCTCCTGCGTACGCCAGTCACCTGGTCACCGTGCCTGCAGGGTACAACTTACTAGCCTGTTTGACCTTTTTTGGGTGCAGTCCTGTCACTCGAGTTGAACCTTGGTGTGAAAGTTGTCGCCTGCTGGCGTGGTGACCAGGTGATGTGGGCACCCAGGAGCACGTGACCACTTGTTCAACCATGTTCGATTGGGAATAAAGGAGGAACGCTGCATCGCATCCTTTTCGGACCAAAACCAGTCGACTCAGCGTCCAAAAGAGTACAACATATGGGCCAATCGCGGTCATCCGTGCTTTTATAAGAACGAAATGGCGCTTTTAGTGACATTTTGTATACAAATCCCCATCTAGTAGGGCGCAGTCACCCAGTTTCGGTGGAAGTGCGCGAGTTCGATTGGGATTCAAGTAGGAAGGGAGCGTCTCAGCTTTCTCGGACCAAGACCATTCGACTCAGCACCCCGAAGACTACAACTGGTGAAATTTTAATTTTTGCCTTAACTTCCCCTTTAATATGTCTAGAATCTAGATATGAATATAATGATGATGTCTGGCGCACGCAGGTGGCATTTTAATGCTTGCATTCCTTTGTGTTCGTATCTGGTACGGACGCTCACTTGTACGTCTCTCTCTCTCTCTCTCTCTCTCTCTCTCTTCTGCCTGTATACTCCTTTATTTTATTGCTGCAGTTATGAAGACCACGAGTCAGAGACCACAGATGAAAAGAAGACGAATTGAGGTAATTTACGCTGCAGTTATGCTCCCGATCTCTCCTATTTTCATTTTGTTGTCTAGTTGACACGCTTCTTGCACGAAAACAGTCTGGTAGCTGTGCGGTCTGGTAGCTGTGCAGTCTGGTAGCTGTGCAGTCTGGTAGCTGTGCCGCAAACGCCCGTGGCTCACTATAAGTATATTCCTGCTTTGCCTTCATCCCATGCTCCTCTGTTTTGGCCGGATCCCTGTCTCACCGTGTGGTGTTTGTATGCTGTGTCCAAACACCACCAGATAACGCCGATGGCCTGCCTGCAGTCGGGGTCTAGTCATGGTTCTGCTGCTGCTGTTGCTGCTGCACTTTGCACTTTGCAGTGTGCACATATGACACGCTTGCCGCATTCTCCTGTCCGATGTTCATCGTAACGGCTCTCCGGGCGTGTTACTTTGCTCTGTACATTGCTCTGTACATAGTTATTCAGTTTATTTCCGAGTGTAGCTCCTCCACGACTACTTTAACCACCAAGCACGAGTACTATTTTTTCATTTTCTATTTTCTGCTTCTATGTGCAGAAGAGGATTAAAAAATGCTTTCCGTTGCATGTATATTTGCGTCGTGTCATGCAGATTTGCTATTATTTTAATTGTCCTGTACCAGCACGCTGACTTGCGCTCATGGTGTAGTGTTTGGTGTAGTGTTCGGTCGCGGTGCTTGCCCAGTCACTATGGATATGCTGACGCCGGGTTTAATCGCTAAGCCGATTGCGTGAAACCCGGCGTTAATAAAGTGCTGCTCGATGAAATCCAATCGCGTCGCTCCAGCTTGCGTCTTGCATCATGTCGCGGCCCAAGCGCCGCGGCACGTACTTGATTGACTTGGCTGGATTTCATTGAGCAACGCTGTGGTACAGTACCAAGACTACATAGTGCAGTGGGAGCTTATTTTACTCTTGTAAGTTTTGGTACCTTACTTGCAAGTAACGGTAGTGCAGTTCAAACTGTATGCATGAAGTTGCATGTACACGATGCACATTCTGGCTATGTTGTCTTTGGCACACCTGCCGTTATACTCACTAACTCAGTATATACCGTACTCCCAGCAAGGCACAGAGACACCCACATCTACTTGGCCTGGGCCCTCCTGCAGGCCTGGTAGCCGGCTTTGCCGCAGTTTGTACGGTACTGTTTTGGACGAAAAAGACAGAAATAAATTCCAGGCGAATATTTCTGCTTTTACAGTACTGTCAAGAGTCCATAACCCCCTCGGGGGGTTATGGACTCTTGACAGTACTGTAAATCAACAAATTTTGGCCGATCTCGAAATGAAACTCTTGGCGCTCATTTCACTTTGGCCGATTGGGGTTTTCAAACAGAAATCGATCGCTGGTTGTTGCTCTCATACTTATGCAGCTATGGCTCAATCTTGCATCTATGACAAACGTTGGCCTGCGATTTACTTTGGCCGGTTTGCACCAAACGGCGAAATCAGCGAAATTAAATCGCCAGCGAAAATTAGTTGATTTACAGTAGTCAGTTTCGCTTCTGGTTCAGTGGTTGTGCCACTTGTGTGACTTGACTTAGATCTGACGCAACTACCGGTAAGGCGGTATCGGTCATTATGTACATGTAAGTCGATGCATCAGTCCAAGATCAAGAGTCCATAACCCCTGGGTTACCGGTTATCATGGTAATAATAATTATTGGTTTAATATGAACAAAATAAGAAATTTTTTTAAATAAAATAATAATAGTGGTGAAACGAATATCAAAACCCAGTATACTAACTACTTGAACTAATAATACTTATGGACTCTTGGTAAGCCAGGCCAGACTCAATGCACTGAGTCTGGCCTGGCTTACCAAGAGTCCATATGATAAGTATTATTAGTTAGTTAGTATACTGGGTTTTGATATTCGTTTCACCACTAAAGGCACTATTATTATTTTATTTAAAAAAAAATTCTTATTTTGTTCATATTAACTTAAACCAATAATTATTATTACCATGATGCAGTGCATCATCAGTCATGACTCATCATAGTCATGGTGCATGCCCAGCACTAGTGCCTAGCGCATGCATAAGTGGTATTTCCTTCAACTTCAAGCAGGTCTACGTGACCTGGTGACCTGGTGACAGTTGCACTCCAGTTGCATGCACGTGCCAAGATCCCCAAGACTACAAAACTGGATCTACCACTTACCAGTCGTTTAGCTGGGAGCCGGAGGCTCGAGGAGCAGCTAGCGCTACGCATTGTGGTCGTTGGGTTGGATGTTGCGTTTGTTGACAGAAACTGGTTTTTCTGATTGTGCAATAGTTCGTCCCAACTGGTCATTCCTGGACGACCTGGCAGCAGCAGCAGGTGGAGCACATAATAACAGACTCAGTAGCAGCTCTCTAATCTCTCCCGTAACTTACGCGTAAGCAATCTTCGCAAAAAGCCGGGCCACCTGTGGCAAGTGCCTATAAAACGCGAGAGTGCAACGACGTTACGTGTTCGCTCACAGAACATCAGTCGTTGTGCAACTCGTTTCATTTAAAATTTTGTTTCTACTGAATCGAAATAGACGTGGTGGTGATGGAGAAACCTTGGGTGACTCAGAAAATGCTGAGCTTCCTTTTGCTGCTTGGCATCGTGCTATCATCATTGTGTGTAGATCAGTCCACAGCCGATCATGAGCCCGAGCACACTAGTCAGCAACGCTGTCTTTCAACGAAGGGTCGTCACAAGGAGATGCCCAGTCGCGAGACGCTGCACGAGTGCCATGCATTCGCGGACAACGCGTGCTGCACGCCCAACACGACTCGTCCGCTGGCGGATAGCGACGGCACGCACATCGACACGTACTTCTGGCCCAAGTGCGGCAATGTGTCGGAGGAGTGCGAGGCTTACATCCGTGCAGAGATGTGTTTCTACTTCTGCTCACCCAACACGTACCCGTGGGCGAAGAAGATCCCCGTCGACCATAACGTGCACCCGGACGATGTAGGGGAAACGTACTCCGGTGTTCCAATCTGCGGGTCGTGGTGCGATCGTTTCTACGCTGCATGCCAGGACCAGCCGATCTGTGTGACTAGCTGGTACCTTGACTGGAATGTTACCATGGTGAACGGTCGGAGCGAGAGTCATTGCCGCGACGACTCCAACTGCAGCACGTTTGGCCAGCGCTTTGGCAGTGCTATGAGCATGTGCAACGGGATCTTCGGCGACTCGTACGTCTACACGTCCACGGCGGATTGTCTGGTGATGTCGTTCAACAGCTCAACAAACCCGAATGACGACGTCGCCGATCGGCTGGCAAGCGGCGCCGCATCCCACTGGAGCACGGCGCTGCTGCTTCCGAGCTCCGTGCTGGCAATGGCCACCTCCCTGATGCTGGCGTCGTGTAGCTAATGCAGAACACTGCAGCTCAGGGTATATATTCCAGCCACATGGGCAAGCATTCACTGCGCTACCCACACAACGACCGTGTGGTGTACATCCATTGTACGTGGACTATTGCCCCGCAGATTTGAGCCAAAATGGACCAGCTTTCTTTTGGAAGAATTTGAGTACATAACTTGTGACGAGCATAATTGAATGGTTTTCAAGCACACCCCCCCCCCGTGCCAAACTTTGATTCCTTTCCGGAAATAAAGAGCACATATGTATTTTGTGCCATCCAATCGCCTGACTTTAAAAAGCTTTTCTTTCTTTCCAATCTGGGCCTAATTTAAAAATCTATGTGTATGCCACATACATGTACTCTCAATGAGGGCGAGTTCAATGTGATGGTGAGGCCCTGCAATGAGGCGGATCAAACGCTCTCTTCTCTGTAGGAATGACACATTGCTGTACTTCCCACTTCAAAAGAAGGGGAAATAGTTGGAATTCCTTTCGGCTAGGGGGATCATTTTCCCTGCTAGGAATGCTGCATTAGCAATAAGAGCACTTGCTGTCGCGATAGGTTTGCTCCTATCAACTACTAGTATCATCATCTTGATCTGTGTTTTATCTTTACTCGTACCTCCTCAATTTCAGTTGCATTTAAATTATTAGTACGAAGTTCCCACCGTAGTTTGAAATGCTAGTGCACTTTTCTGGTACTACACCGGTCACTGGTGCATGTGTTGTAAACCCGCTGCATTCAACGGCACCGGACACGTTGCAAGTCAGTGGGGCAGTGTGGACTGAGTGGTTCGTCAGCTAAGCAGAATCATGATAATGTACTAGTGCTGAAGTGAGAACTCCTTCTTTTTGCTGCAGAGCCCCCCTCCGTCCCCCGTTTACATGGTTTAGATCATAATTTAGTATCCGGCTGCCTTGCAGTACATGTAAAACGCCAATGACTTACCCTAGTATGATGCAGAGGAACTTTTGGATGCTTTTTTTCAGCCCCCCAAAGAAAGTTATATCATCATTATCAGTGAGATTATACATGCACATGTACATGTATGTCCAAGCTCAAGGACAACCACTGTGTGAACATGACCGTCTTGTCTATGACATACTGCGACGTATTAACGACCTCAGACAGCAAGCATAGGCTACTAACACTAGTACTATTCATCGGTTGCGAAAATGCACTCTCCTTGCAGACAGTATATGGGAGATCGTAGCTAGCTGTTACTACGGAAGTGTGAAGCTTTGAAGTACATTTCTCGCATCCATTCCAGGGGGGGGGGGGGGGCATGACAAGTATAGAGCGGTTTGAAAGACCATACGGGACAGCCATATAGGCTCCATCACTTCAACCCTTGCACTATGCCGGGTCACAAACTCATGTCGGCCATGTTGGTTCCACTGTCCACATGCCATGATCGCTTTCTACACAATCTTAATAGCCACATAACCAGGGAGTCGTAAAATACAGGTATTTTACGACTCTCCGCACATAACAAAGATATGAAACCAATCCTAACAATGAATGAACTCTCAAATACGCATGTGCACGCGAAGCAAAGACACACCGTGATTATGCCCGTGTAATTGATCAGCTATCCACTCGGCGACTCTCAGGTCTGTTTGGAATAATCTGATAGGAAAGATGCACTGACAACGACCAAGCACCGTGGGTGGAAACCACCAGGGAAACGGAGATAATAATCATAACAAGCACGCAAGAAAATATCCATAAGCTTGACGCGGCAAGAGAAGAACTTTGTTGTATAATATATTACATGTATAATAATATGATGGTCTAGGAGAGCAAAGACAATATAGATTTGCTGCATCGGTTAGAGCAGAGTGAACCACAGTCTCTCTGCGGTGAACCGTTCTCCAACGAATAAATGTCAGAAACTAGTCCTGATGCCGATATCCTGACAGACAACATCTCAAGTATATGGACATGCAGTGACTGTAAGGCAATTCTAACAACAAGCCGGAGAAGCTGATCATGTTTGAGCTCAATCAAGCCACACGGAAGCCGACCATGCTGCTACAAGAAGGGGACTTCCCCCAAAAAAACTGCTAGCCAATAGTACAACAGAGATGGAGTGGTACCCAAGCTGGGAACTTGAGATTTTCTAGGGATGCGGGTAGACAGTGATACACAGCGGCCAGCAAGGCAGCCAGCCACACCTGCTCTGGAAAATGCGCGATGTGTCCGTGAAAATGGAAATAAAAAGAAACACTGTTAAAATCTGAATGTGAAAAAATTACTGAACCTCAATGTTGAAGAGTAGGGAAAAGCTGAGAAAGGTCCTAGCACGCACGCACATAGCTGCATGCGTCATAGCCAGCCCATTCTAGATGAGTCACACAATTCTTAATTGTCCTAACCACCGAATCTCCAGCCATACTGCCGCTGTATGCGACACGGGCTTGCAGCAGTAGCGCCCGGCAGACCCGGCTGCGTAATGCTACCCGGGGCTTGTCACACGTATGCATGACTAGCCGTCATGGGAATGAGCTTAGCATCTTCCGGTTTGAACATGCCTCTCTTCCGGCCAGCCACTTGTATGATGGTGATGATGACCATTGCAAGCAGTACTACACCGATGATGACAAATGCCACCACAAGTCCAGCAACAGCTCCTCCACTGAGCCCGCTACCACCACTGCCCGTTTCAGCAACCAGCGGCTCAGTGGTGGGCTCACTCGGCTGCACGGTGCCAGCTGATGATGCGGATACTGGCTGGTTACCCGATGACGGCGGTACCACAAACTCAACACCGTCAGCATCCTTGGCAACGGCTTGCAGATCAACCGGCTCATCGCCAACCTGAACCGAGCGTACCTGTCCAGTATAGCCAGTACTGACATCACCAATGGAGTTTCCCGGGCTGCCTCCAAGCTGCGTGCCCCCGTCCAATGTCGGCGCAAGGTTAGAACCAGTGATTGTTCGAGACTCGCCGTCCACATCAACGGTGACTTGCTCACTGCCATGCTGCACATTGATATCATACCAAGACTTGTCGGTGTAGTAAGACTCACCCGGCGGTGACTGGATTGTCACATTGTAGAGCCGGCCGTCCACCGAGAACTGCCAGAGTACATGCTCTGGCATTATAGCTAGACCAGCAAAGTCACCACCGCTGCCTGCTGCCTCTCCACGGCCGCCGTACGCATAGAGAACAATGCCGCCCTTGTCCGTGCTGAACTTCAGCGTGATCGGCTTGTCAGCGGACAACGTCAGAGGCGGTAGGTTGACGTGTGCGTCGGGCGACGAGATGCTCAGCAGCGGCTCTGCGGCAACTGCCCGTGTTGGTTCTTCGGACGCTACTGTAGTGGGTGATTCTGTTGTTGCTGCTGCTGTGGTGGGTGAGGGTGTCGAGTCAGTTGTGGCAGGTTCTGTAGGTTCTTGGGAGCTGGTCGATGGTTTCACTTCGGCAGGTGTTGCTTGTGTTTGTTCCTGCTCTGATGTGATCATCACCGGTGATGGAATGCTGGTCATGGCTACGGGCTGTGTGGTAGGTTGTGTGGTGGGCAGCACAGTTGTACCGGGAGACGCCATAGGAGCAGAGGAGATGGAACTTGCCGCCATGCTTGGGGAAGATGAGCTACTTACTCCAGCTTCCATCTGTGAAGACACTAGTGACGCCGCCGGCATGGGGATTTCTCTCGAGTCCATTGCCGACATATCTGGTGATATCATATGGGGTACTGATGATGACATACCGGTTGCTGATGATGTCACATGGGCTGCCGATGATATCACATGGGTTGCTGATGAGGTCACATGGGGTACCGGTGATTCATAAGAAGTAATAGAGGACACTGTTGGGTCGTATGAAGGTGTTGGCAATGTCACAGATGATGTTAGTGATGTCATAGATGATGTTGATGAAGTCATAGATGATGTTGATGAAGTCATAGATGATGTTGATGAAGTCATAGATGATGTTGATGAAGTCATAGATGATGTTGATGAAGTCATAGATGATATTGGTGGTGTCATAGATGACATCAATGAAGTAATTGATGATATTGGTGTGGGGAAGGAAGACGCTTCACTTGATGATGTTGGTGGTAACATGGGAGTTAGTGCCGACGATTCCGTCACGGACGGCAATACGGTTGAGGAAAAGATAACAGCAGGGTCAGAATAGGATGGAGTTACTGACACTGAATGAACAGTTGTCAATTCTGATGGGAGGAAGGAGGCAACTGGCTTTGATTCTAAAGGAGTGGACATGGATGAGGAATGAGCTGAGAGCGATTCCGATGGAGTTGGCATGGAAGATACAGGGGTCGCGGCTGATTCTGACGTAGTTAGCATTGACGGTGCAGGACTCACAGACGATTTTGAGGAAGTTGGCATTGATGATACAGGAGTCATAATTGACCCTGATGGAGTTGGCATTGACGATACGAGAGTCATAATTGATTCTGATGGAGCTGGCATTGACGATGATGCATGAGACATAATTGATTCTGAGGGAGTTGGCATTGATGATACTGCCGAACTCACAGCTGATTCAGAGGACGTTGGCATTGGTGGTGCAGGAGTCATAATTGTTTCTGATGGAGTTGGAATTGACGATTCAGGAGTCATCATTGATTCTGATGGAGTTGGAACTGACGATTCAGGAGTCATAATTGTTTCTGATGGAGTTGGAACTGACGATTCAGGAGTCATAATTGATTCTGATGGAGCTGGCATTGACGATGATGCATGAGACATAATTGATTCTGAGGGAGTTGGCATTGATGATACTGCCGAACTCACAGCTGATTCAGAGGACGTTGGCATTGGTGGTACAGGAGTCATAATTGTTTCTGATGGAGTTGGAACTGACGATTCAGGAGTCATCATTGATTCTGATGGAGTTGGAACTGACGATTCAGGAGTCATAATTGTTTCTGATGGAGTTGGAACTGACGATTCAGGAGTCATCATTGATTCTGATGGAGTTGGAACTGACGATTCAGGAGTCATAATAATTATTGATTTCGATGGAGGGGGCATCAACTGGGAAGGTTCTACTGACTCACTAGAAAATATGAAGGTGGATGCTGACGGTGCAAGTGTATCGGCAGGTAGCATGTCTGCATCCATTCGAGAAGAGGAAACTGGCTCACTGGATGACGACTCCATAACAGAGGACGTTGACACTACGACATCGGGCTCAGTCCAGTATGACGTATCCCATGCGTACAGACCACTACTGCTGGCTTCTACGCCACTTACGCTCTCACTTGTCGCACTGACGGTTGCCAAGGTGACGACTGCTGTACCGTTGACGTCTTCGATATCCTCAGTGGAAATCACCGAGGATTCGGTGGGAACTATGTCAGCTGATGCAGTTATCACCACTGTACTGGAGCTAAGACCCATAGACGTGATTGCATCATCGATGATGTCACTTGTAACCGGTATGCTCAGGTGAGAACTGGTTGTCATGACAAGCTGTACAGGGGTAGGTGTGACCGACACGGGATCAATTGTCGAGTAGATGTAGTCGGTAGGTGACGCTGACACAGGTGTTGGCATTGGTGTCGAGTCTGTTGACACAGCAGAGACAGGAGATGCAGATGGCGTCATATCAGCAATACTGGAAGACAGCACAGGTGGCAGTGGCAGCATGTCGGGTTCTGATGTAATCTCCGCCTGTGGCAGTGTTGTGATTGGCGGCGGTGTTGTGGTTGGTGCGGGCGTTGTCGTGGGTGGCTGCGTGGTCGGGATGGGTTCACACATGTATGCCTCCTCGTCCTGTCCTTCCACGCATAGCTCAGTGACCGAGCACGGACTAGCCGGCTCACACGAAGGACAGAACGGCACGATATCGGAAATGTCGGTGGTTAGATTTCTCAACTGAACTGGTTCACGGCTGCCACTGGCGTAGAAATGTCGCATGCAGCCCATGAATCCTTCGCTGACGCCGTTGACTTCAACACCAGCCGGCACCGCACCAATGAGCAGCTGCTCGTGTTCGGGAAATGCAAGAATGACCACATGGTGCCTTAGCGTCAGTGTCTCTAGAGCACCATCCACTTGGAAGTAGATGATGTGCTTGTCGCGACGCACGCCCACCTCATGCCACAGCCCGTCGCTTATGTAGAGTGACGACACGGCCTCTAGCATCTCATCGCCGTTGTGATACGACAAGGCTATCGAGCCGTTGGAGACAATCAGCGCCGCGTAGTTATCTCCGTCGCCCTCCGCCTTGCGATTAGCGGCGCCTTGTTGATACGCAAGAATGGCATTATCCTGCAGGGTTTTCAGGTGGAACGTTAGGTAGCCTTTCTTGCGGAAGAGCCACTGGCGCTCTATGTAGAATCCGTCGGTGGTGTCGTTGAAGTGGATTGCGTCAGACTCCAGCGAGCGCATCTCAATGATGTTTGTAGCATCGAGATGAATTGATGCTGACAGATTGCTCAGGATCAGTGCATCTAGAGGAGAGCTCCTTGCGAGCATATCCAGCGGACGGATGTCATCGTTCACTAGCACCTCTTGTAGCCAGCCACTGAAAGGCTCGTACGCCTCCTCCTCTGCAGCCATGGCCACGGGTGTTGAGAATCGCGCCAGTTCTATATTGCTAACTAGCATATCCCATGCTGGTGAGGTTAAGGGAAGTACATCGGTAATGGTGGAGTTCCCTGTGTCCAGCGTGAGCTGTATCTCATGATCCTGTATCACCGCGCTCACCGCATGGTACTCATCGTCTTCAAGGCTCTCGCCGACAATGAGCTCCTGCATGAGACCCGTCGAGCCCATCGTCTTGAGCTGCACGCGGCCGTCGGACAGGTGAATCCAGACACCATACCGGCCACTGTTATCGGTGACCGCCATCAGCTCAGCAGCGCTCTGGTGCTGCACGGGAGTCCGGAATGTGACCATCACGCGGCGAAGTGTGTCAGAAAATCCCAGGTTCAGGTGATGGTAGAAGCCGCTGCGAAATGTTGACGTTACCACATCTGCCCAGGACAAGAAAAGGATTGAGAAACACCACACCACAAAATCACAACTAGCGTTCACAACTGCATGAAGACTTTCCAACAGACTTATACAGCATGAACTATAAAGCATGGACTTGTTTAGTTGGTATGTTAGTGGCACCCCATGCGGTTGTGCTATACTGCACTCGAAAGCATACAGGCAGGTTTCATGGACATATCGGATGGAACATGCCGCTTCTCTATTCCAACGCCATGCTGTTACTCCTTTCCTTGCTGTTATGCATGGAGAATACATTAGATTGTAGACGGTGTGTACTTAGCATCTTGCCGGTTCACTTCAATGCGAATGCTCACTACAGTATTTGAAAATTATGAGTATTAATCTGAAATTGATCCACCGACTGAACATCGCCATTATCACCCCAGGCTGTTGGACAAACTTGATCAAAAGCACTCTTTCAAAGCCATAGATAATGTATGAACCTCTGCAGGAGTTTCATAATAATAATTATTATGGACTCATAAATGTCATAATGTCCCCTCAAACCAGCATTGGGATGTGGGAATTCCCCCTCACCCACACGGCGATGCAATGTGTTTGCAAGCTGCACACCACAGATATCCTAAATCCGAATAAACTCATTACAGCTGTATAAATTGCTGCAGGGTGTGTGAACCCCAATCCGATGATGTTTCCTGTTGACCAGGAAAAGATGCACGCTGCACTGTGAGTATGAGCTCAGCTGTTAGGTGGCAATACAAACTGACTACAGCTGGGGAGGATATTTTGCCCAGATCTAGACCATGAGCCGGAGCAGGATCTCTTGAATCATGTTTCCAGTCTCCATTTTTAAATTCTTACACAACCATGCATGCACGCGCGCCTACAGTCTGTCTGCATATTTCAACCAATTACTTCCCACATGAATGGATCTGTCATGGCCGGCGTACTCAGCTCACCAATACCACTGTAGAGTGTAGTGCTGCACACATTCACTATCAGCCTGTCACCTACCTAACCTACGAATCAGAGGGGGGGGGGACTAAACAGTAAACAAGAATGTTAGTACCCCTGCTGCCGCAAAGTCACTAAAAAACGGTTTTCTTTTGGGAAGGGGGGGGGGGGAAGGCATTCGAATCGTCACTCTTTGACTGTCAAAGAGTTTTCTTTTCTGAAAAGGTAGCTCATTGGCCTCTTCAGAAATGGAAGTCCCCTCTAAACAACTCTAAACTCCGCTACCTCATCCAAGGGTAGGGGTGGATTAGTTCAGAAGAATTTGGAATACTCCAGCGAGCACTACCTGAAGGTAACTTTGAATAGTACGGTCTGTTTTTTCTTCAGACTTTTCCCGTTTGCGTCTGTCCCGTTGAAACCAATGAAGGCACTATCTTTCATAACCTTTTCCCTTAGAAACTACGACAAAACCTACACATATGGTGAGGGAAGTGTGTGAGGCTGCCACCAACCATTTTATTATTGGGATACTTCATTTCAACTCGGATGGTGAGCCAAGTAAATTATGGTGAGAAAGGAGAAGGACAAAATGTTACGAGTTATGACTAACTGTCCACCAACGTAACCAGATCTTATACAGTCAGCGAGTGCGACAAACTCATAAACATTTGTCCTTCTCCTTTTTCACCATACTTCATTTCATCTCTTCTTTAAATAAAAGATGTTTCTGGAAAAGTTGATGAGAAGTCGAATCATCGGAATGCCCCCTTAGTCTTACCATCATCACACGTCTGTCCTGTTTTGCTGGTGCCTGAGCAATCGCACAGTCCTTGGCGATAGCTGGGTGACCTCTGACACCTTCCACCATTCTCACAAGTCGCCTGGGTGGCCGAGCAGACTGGCTCAAACAGGACGCAGCCCAGCGCTAGTGCCACGTCGCGTTTGCTCAGCAGAGGGGGCGGACGGAGCAGTTGCTCATCCGTGTTCAGGTACCACAGGTTCTTGACACACGCTACGAGGTTGGGCAGTTCGGCAGCGCTTTCATCGGCCAACGAGGTAATATCCACGTCAAGTGGCAGGCCACCGATATACACGGGACCCTGGGTGGTATCCAAGCTGCCGTCTCCAGTCTTGAACTTCGTCCACAACTGTCCGTCCAACCTGATCTTGAACCTGCGTCGGCTGGTTCGTTCCCGCTCTATCCGCACCTCATGCCACCTGCCATCGTTGGCGGTGAAGTTGGTGATCTTGTCGGACTCGCTGAGACTGCGACGCTCGGTTGCGTTCTCCTCGTTCCCTTCCTGATACTCCATGCGCACGTCAAGGCGCAGGTCGCCATCCACGAAGCTAAGCATGAAGTAGTCGCTGACATTGCTACCGCCATCCTGGTACAGCAACAGGCCATTGGCCGCAGTTGTTCGGAAAGCGAACTGTAACACTCCTGAAAGCTTGCCATTCCATGGCGAATACGCTACATAAGATGACGGTCGGGCTAGATTGAGCACTAAATCGGACGAGGCCAGAGAGCTACGTATCGTTCCAGCAACTAAAAGAACGAAAAGACATGGCGCAGCTAAAGGATGCCTGAAATCAAAACAACTCATCGCCATGCCGTACAGAGAGCCAATCGCCCAGGCAATGATTGGCTGGCGGTGCACTTTAGCAACCCGATGAGGAGCTCCGAAGTAAGTTCTCTGCGAAAGAAGAGGAAAGTCGACGGATTTCAGGAGAGGAGAGTGTGTAGTAGTGTGCAGCTTCTCGTCACATAGCCCCCTTCCTCACGACTCCCTCACACACGCACCGATCGTCCGTGAGTTCACGCAGCAGCAGCAGCAGTCCAGTTGTGTTAGTGTTACATCATCCTGGGCCAGGACTGAAATAATTCAAAATCAGTCTGCGGTGTAAAGTTCGCACTCGCTACACTGCCACTGGTGTTGATATGCTGATGTGGGGATGTGGCCAGGGTGCGCGTCTTGTATCCAGTACTCGATCAGTTGCGGTGCGCATGCTGATGTCTGTGGTGATGTTACTGGTGGTGTGTGTGTGTGTGTGTTCCTACCTAGATCTAACACTACTGCTAGGATGGAGTCATGATGTTGTAGTCCCGCCGTTGCAAGAGCCACGAAGCTTGCTCCCAGGCGCACAAAGTCATGTAAATCCCTGGCCGGCCACGGAGCATGGACACACGCGACAAAAAAGCACCTTCATTGCTGCTCGCACCTGTGAGGTGCCCCATCACCGCGTCGCCAGAACAACCCCGAAACCGAAAGAATGCACGAGGTTGAAGTGCCCTCACCGCGCGCCATGTTGACCCCGTGCACGCTAGCCGTAGACATGTATGTGCGAAGCGCTGCATGCAGGGGGCAAAGTGCACGCTACACATGATAGTGCGCAGTTGGAGCGTGTCGAGAGTTGCTGATGAGGAACGAGCACGCCTAGGAACTGAAGGAGAAAGACGAAACAGTTTCCTTCTTCACCGGTAGAGCGCCGATGCCTGAGTGATGTTCAATACACTCCACTCTCGTTGTGTGCCGCGTGCCTTAGCTACTACTGCCCAGCACTGGATGGTAGACACGTGGCGATGGCAGGCGAGTCGGCGAAAGAGATGTTAGCGCTCATAGACACAACGCTAGCGTGATTACATTATGTGCTACCGGCGAATGATCTAAAGTAACGTTAGGTCTCAACTAAACTGCTGCTTTGCAGAGGCCTGCCATGCCTGCCATACCTGCCAGCCTGCTAGGGTATCGGGCTGTTGAACACTGTCTGTGTACCAGTTACACTTGAAGCGACCTGGATTAAATCATCGCAGCGGTAGCAGCAACTGCAGCGTAGAACCTGCTAATAGTAATACCGCTCTCGAGATGTGATAAAAGCTAATCGGTGACTAAGGAGTAAGGTGCCCCGTTACCAGTAACGTAACTGTTACGTGCTCTCCCCGGAGAGGTGTGTACACCGTCACATGGCGCGATTGCCTGTGTCACCAACCCACTGACCGAGTCAGCCCTGCCAGTACTAATGGCAATGCCCTGGTAAATGTGTGACTTATTGTGTCAGGACCGAGTGATGGTCCCCTCACTCCGAACATACTGTCACAAAGACTGTATGCGGATCAGGGCTGTGTGGTGAAGTAAGTAACTATTAAATAATAATTACTTACTTTAATACTTGGTTGTAATAGTGCGGTGGCGCTCGAGATACTCATGCCAGTCGAAACTATAGCTAGCCACTTGGAGATGCAGAGAGTGAAGGAGTACTTGAAATAGTAGAATGTACCTGGGTATAATATTTGTTGTAGAGACTCTACAAGTCTCGTACAGCTCCACAGAACACAGCGAGTGAAGTAAGTACAAGACAGGGAGGCCAAGACTCTCGGCGACCTGCTGTGTGGTAGGCCTACTGTGTGGTGTATGCCCTGCAAGTCGGTAGTAGATCTACCAACTCTTACTCTCAGCTGCAGTAGGTAGGCAGAAGACGGAGCCCGTGAGGTGTGTGCATGGCTGTGATACAGTTGCGTAAACACCGCCTCCAGTAACGCTAGTCTGGCTGATTAGCACGCCTAGCTAGTCTACCCGCCTGTTATCTCCCTTATAGTTATACGTACATGTACATGTACACCTTATATCTAGTTATCAGACTATTAGTATTACAGTTCCCTAAAATAGAGGCAGTAACCGTGCCGCCCATCAAACCAAGCTATGTGATTGTTGCCATGGAGGCGGAATACCATTGTGTTCTCAGCTCTTGCATAAATACAAGTACGAGTAGTACGAGTAGATACATGCCAAGAGTCCATGCACTATTCATACTACCTACATGTATGATGATCCCTACTACAGTAAGTTTCAAAAAAAGTAGTTACTTAAGTACTTGTACATGTAGTGGAAAGAGTATCGAGACGACATGAATCGATTCAATCGATGATGTGGCTCAACACGCATCATGAGCATGATATGGACCAGGTACTGGTAGGTCTGACTCTGACTCTGAGGTACTTCCGCCACAAGCCCTACTCCTAGCGGTACTGCTACGTACTTCAAAGCCATTTGCTAGATCATGGACGATCAGTTTCGGAACGAACGCATCAGACCAACGGGCATTCCCCCGGCCCAGGGGAGAGTGTGCTCCTCCCGTACTTGCTTCATGTATCTGTTAGAAGCTGCACTTTACTTGATGCAATACTGCCAATAGTGACGGCTACATGACTGTATAACATGATTGTGCAGCATTGTGGCCAGCCAGCCCCATGACACGACATCATGATATTATTGTGTCCTGTCATGGCTATATGATTTATATCACAAGAAGATGAGAGGAGGAGGTTCAACTAGCACTCGCCCTAAATCCCCGTCACATCATCCGTACATGTACACGCCGATGCTTCAATACTCCACACCAAGTTTTACCATTACAATGAGCAGAATGTGAGACCAACAATGAACAAATAACTCAACGCATTCCAATCAGGGCTTGTTGCTATGGCAGTGACTACACATTTCTGCCAATGCGGACGTATCATAGGGAGTCAGAGAGTTACCTGGTTACTGCTGACCAGCCCTCAACCTGATATGATGGCTGTGATGCTCCAATACTACTAGTACTACCGGGGCTATCAAGAGTATGCTCCTGGCCCGGGAGGTTATACTCTTGGTACTCCCTGTACACGCTAGACGAACATAGCCATAGTCACACTGACTGTTAGTGTTACCGGTACGGGCGGTAGACACAATCCTGAATTGGTCAAAACCCCAACTACATGTACATGTACATGTAACGCCACAGCTACACGCACGCACATGTAAATGTACATTACGTGTGAGTACTGCTCGATCCTAACTGCATTGTTCATGTAGTTTGCCGTACGGCACTTGAATTTCTCAAACACTAAAACAGAACTTTGGTCGGCCACTCGGGAAAACAATGCGTTGCCGGAAGAAATTCAAACTAGGTCATCCAAAGACCATGCGTTCCACTTCCAGTTTCTAACGTTGCCATTTTCTGGCCCCGTGCTAACCTGTCGCGCGGGCACTAACAAGCCATAAGGTCCTCCCTAGGCCCAGTTATGTACTAACATGTTGTACACAGCTATTCGAATTTAAAAGTGTGACGTCTCACAGATAAAGAGTAGTAAGTAGTACAGCCTACTACAGGATTGCATGCAAATAACGCAACATCGAAGTCAATGCTTCCCTACGGGCACCCCAGGCCCACCCACCGTGCATGCATGGCTGGAGGATGGGTTTGAGGGAGGCCGAGGAAGTACCAGAGCACGGATCCAGGAAGCGTGTCGCCTGTATAAGAGTAAGACCGTTGTCATACCTCCAACATATCGCTAGACACACCGCACCGCGGTCCTACTGCCTGGCAGGCACTGCAATTACTGGGTTCACGTAGCCTGGGTGATCGCTACACTAGCACAGATAAGACTGGTGTTATCAAGACAAGACTCAAGAGTTCACACCCATGTGGCCGTGGCTGTGGTCCAATGTGGGGTCACAGTATGTAGTCTTGCTGTTATCTCCATTGCGGCAGTCTAGTCTAGCTGCATCATTCCCATCATTTTCTACCAGGGAGTATTTTACTACTCCCTGATTTCAACACCAGTCTACCAACCACTTGATATATTATTATCAGGATGCAGTGAATGAGATCCTGATAAACCGAGAACTAGTGCAGTAGTGGAGTTCTCCGTACACGACGATCACATCCACTGCGGCGCAACGAGCACAAACGTAGACATACCGGCATTGGCGTATAGCAGCAGTGACGTGCTAGGTATTTTACAGCCTGCCCAGGAAAATCTACTGCTTCATGCTGTTGCAGGCGATTCATTATTACAATCATGTCGCACACAATGTCACACTCTTGATACTGCTGCCAATGCTGGCATGTGTTCACACGTGCTGGACTTTAGCGGTTACATGACCGTAGTGATGCGCATCACACGAAACTATACGAAGTCTCCACTCTTGCCCTGGCGACAGTGGTCGCAGTAACAAACACATAATGCAATGTACTCCGGAGTACACTGTAGCCAAATCAATCACACAAACGTGTAGCCATGTTTTGTTCAAACGTTCGTCGACACAATTACAGTTTCCGAAGTTACAGTCATTGCAATGAAATGTACAATCATGTGCAATCATGTACATGACGAGGCACATGTTGCTACAGTACAATCATAGTCTGGTGCCAGTGGTGCCGGAAACATACCATACGGCATAGGTGTTCCCAAGACCGAAGTGGCGCGTCGGGATCCAAGGTTCTATACAAATCCCTGAAGAGTGAAGGAGACACATCAGAGAAGTCGGCGGGAGTTGCACACGTAGATCTACGCCCGAACAACATTCGGCATCGTTCTACGTAGTCTACCCTCTGCTGTCATGTTTTCCACATCAGTCGGATCACCCTGATCACGTGTGGCACTGCGGATCAGCATGCTGTCATCACTCATCAGTGTAGCCGTCCGGCCGTATCGTCTTGACTCCGTACTTCAATGGACGAGAAGGCGCTTGGTTCGAAAAGGGGAGGGTAAGGCCAAGTAAAAAAAAAAGCTAGATGATCGTCCCCGTCCGCCCCAGTTTTTGTCAGCGCCCCAAGAAATATTTTATTTTTTAAATCGTGAGTTTTTGCCGAAATCGTTGGTTTTTTACCGATCGCGGATGCAGGAAACATGTGCACGCTTTGTTTAATACTTTCTTTACTAGTATATCACAACGTCAGTATCGATCTGCTGAAGAAAGAAAAAGAAAAAAAGAAAAAAAAGAAAAAAAGAGAAAAAAACCTTGATGTTGTTGTGTACACTGTGTGCATGAGAGGGTAAAAAGTAAAAAAATAAAAATAAAATCCTCCCGCCCTCCCCGATTTTTCCAAAAAAAAGGACGATCATCTAGTAATTTTTTTTACTCGGCCTAAAGTCGTGGCTGTCCTTTCCCACACAAGTCAAAGATCGAGACCAACGTTCACCATCGGAAACCGGAAACATACCATACGGCCGGAAACATACCATACGGCATAGGTGTTCCCAAGACCGAAGTGGCGCGTCGGGATCCCAGGTTCTATACAAATCCCTGAAGAGTGAAGGAGACACATCAGAGAAGTCGGTGGGAGTTGCACACGTAACGTTAGATCTACGCCCGAACAACATTCGGCATCGTTCTACGTAGTCTACCCTCTGCTGTCATTTTTTCCACATCAGTCGGATCACCCTGATCACGTGTGGCACTGCGGATCAGCATGCTGTCATCACTCATGAGTGTAGCCGTCCGGCCGTATCGTCTTGACTCCGTACTTCAATGGACGAGAAGGCGCTTGGTTCGAAAAGGGGAGGGTAAAGTCGTGGCTGTCCTTTCCCACACAAGTCAAAGATCGAGACCAACGTTCACCATCGCCCAACCAACAGCCGGCCAGCACGGAATAGGAGAGATTCGGCCATGTCCCGGGAGGATGGTCTTACCAGTGCGGGTCAGGGAGGTGTGTCGCTGCAACCGGGCGCAGAGGCGCGTAATCCAATGAGCAGAGTAGTGCTGTCTGAGTCGGACGGCGAGCACGACAAATCTGTGTTCCTCTCGTCCGGCTCCACACTCGACACCGGTGTGAGCAGCAGCAGCGCGGCGGCAAGCTCCTCTGCCAGAACCAATCAGTATAGCTCTCGCTCTCAGCATGTGTCGCAGGGTAGTGGCAATGGCGGCAGCGGACGACAAGTCGGCCAGGATAATGACGATGCCGCCTTGTCAGTGCTGCTCGTACCAGCGCTAGCGGAGTTCATCGGCACAATGGTGTTCGTGTTGATCGGAATATTGTCCGTAATGGTACAAACGCAAGGTCTGATGAACCCAGCCCATCTTGATTACAGCAACGACTTTCTCATAGCACCGCTAGCTCACGGCATGGCGATCTTCATACTTATCACCATCACAGTTAACGCAAGGTAAGGTCACCATTAGTTATAGGATCAGCAATCGCCAGCTGAAACGAACTGTTACTTCATTCAAACTGCAGTAATAATGTAGATCTACAATAAAGCAGATACATGTAAGCAGATTGTGTACAATCATACATGCATGTACAGTCATTGTACAGTGCTACTCAATGAAATCCGACCAGGTCTCTCAAGCTTGCGCCCTGCACTAGTCTACAGTGCACCATCCCGGTGTTCGCAGGTCTAGGGCTGCACACATGCACAGCGCCCGGCGTGCCATTCACTCACAAGATCGGATTGCAATGAGCAGTACTGTGGATTGTACAAACCGAAACAAACATTGCACAAACGGGAAATGTTGCGCGCATGCGAGCAGACATGCCCCCTCCCCAAAACACTGCTCAATCAAAGTGCATCTGCTTCCCCTTGTGACGGAACCACGATCATGAATAGCCTCAAGGACTGGAGAGTAAGCAGCAGCTTTTGACCAGTTCATCATCGATTTAGGTCAAACTCCACCAACAGATGCGCTCTCTGGCCGTCCGAAGTCAGACCGGCAACACGGCATCGAGCTGTAGATATTGGAAAAAAATGATCTCCATACGGCAGAGCTCATCAGTGAAGGTCATAAGAATACTGAATGGCCAGAACTTCTGAATAGAAACATTTTATGCAGAGATTGACTGTGAAAATGAAGATGTGCGATCCCACACATTGAGGTAACATGCGGTGCTAAACACAGAGAATAGGTGCAAGACGACACTGGTACGTGTATTGTGGACATAGATGCATGTTATACTGTAGCCTTGTAGGTGCAACAGATTCTAGCCGTGCTCTGAGATAGCACCGGAACACCCCCACATCCATGCACTCAGTGTGCTATTTCAGAGTTCTAGAATCTGTTGTGTTTTCACATTCACAGACACGTACGTATCAATGTTGTCTTGCACCTATCCTTATGTTTTAGCCCTGTTTACCTCAAAGCGAGGGGTGGCGCTTTTTCATTGTCACAGCTTATCTCTGCATAAGATGTTGCTAACGTTATTCGCAAGTTCTAGCCATTATGTATTCTCAGGACCTTCACTGGTGGCTCTGTATAATCATTGAAAACAGCTGTATGGAGGGAATTTAGCTGACCATTTGCATGACTGTACTACCGTAAAAGCCCATGTATACGCCCACTCGAAATTACGCCCACCCTCCATGTACACGCCCAGTCAGGGGAAGTCAACACTTTTGCTTCAAAATAACGCCCATGCCCATGTATACGCCCAGGTATGCCGGCAACACCAGTACATGTACAGGTACTGATACCCAATACGTACTGCTATCCCTATTCCAAGTATACGCCCCGGTTCCAAAATAACGCCCGTGCCCTTGTATACGCCCAGGAAATCGAGGCTGCTGTTCTATACGCCCAGGGGCATATACACGGGCTTTTACGGTAGTACAACTTGGGGTCTTGTTGCTGGTGTGAATGGGGTCGGCCAGAGAGTGCATGGGCATGGCTGGAGGCCAAACTAAAGCAATTGTAACAACATTGTTTCTCTAAATTGCCAACATCAGGTTATACCGCAATAGCATGGACATCTAACGTCGTGAAGGATCAGCCTACTGTACATCATGCCTGCTTTGCCTTTCTGTATTGTCCAAACACTGGTGCAGTGGCGGCCACCTAAACCCAGCCGTGACTATGGGCCTGTTTCTCAATGGTCAGCTAGGATTACTACGCCTACTGGTCTACTGGGCTGCTCAAGTCGCAGGCGCTACAATCGGTGCAGCGTTAGCACTGGTAAGCAGGAACAGTCGGGTTCGGAGGCAGATATGCTTTAGCTGAGTTGTTTGTTGCCAGTGTGTTGTTGTTGCTTTTGATGCCACTGTCGCAGTGGTCGCTGCTGGTGGTACTGTTGTTGCACAGGAGTGAACGGCAGGCTTTCGTTACTTTCAATTGAGCCCCCCCCCCCCCCCTGTCTCTCTCTCTTTGGTTTGTTGATGTTCGAAGGGATTCCTGGGAAAGAAGAGCATGATGATCATCACTTACGGTGTTCACCATCCCGCCGAGAGGTTCGGCCCAAACGGTACTATCACACCGTTGGTGTCGGACGGCAAGGCACTGGGACTGGAGATGTTTGCTACGTTTGTGGTGGTGATTGTGGTGTTGCAGCTGGGGTCTGACCAGCTGGGACCACTGTACGTTGGCCTGGCGGTAGTGGCCGACATCATTACAATGTGAGTCCATAGCTTGTACACGTCATTGACCAAAGATAGTCACCGTGTACAATTTGACTGTACTGGCACTACCACTTTGCTGTTTGGGAGCGTGCTCCAGCCAAAATGAAATCCCATGCACTTCATCAGTGAGCTGGCCCGCGGCCCGGACCTGCAATCTGTGCTGCAGTGCATACCATCTTCCAAGTAAAGCAGGGTCTTCGGCTTCTTAGATGTCTGACCATGAAAATCAGTTTTGCTTATCAATTGTTGAGTCTTCACCTCTTAACCCTGAACAATCATCTTGTTCTCCCCTCCCAGCCACAACCGCCATCAAAACTTGCTGCCCGTCAGCTACCGCCCCAAAAGGAGTTGTCAGCAGTTGGAGAAATGCCAACACGTTGACTTAATTAACCCTGTGTGTATGTGTGTGTGTGTGTGTGTGCACGTGCGTGTCTGTCTGTCTGTAACTGTACACGTAGAGGACCCCTGACTGGCGGCTCGATGAATCCGGCACGCAGTTTCGGACCCGTCCTGGTCTCCCTGGATGCCCTTGGCGATTCACAGTTTGACGGCCACGAAGGACTCTACTTTGAGCGTGTCTGGAAGCCGCAGTGGATTTACTGGGTAGGCCCTATGCTCGGTGCTTTGCTAGCGAGCATAGTGTCACGCTACGGATTAGCCGAGCAGCAGGAATCACGCAATCGCCGACTCTATTTGAGAATCAAATTACAGTGAGGACAATAAGCCAGCCATCAAGTTATCATTTCGAATGACAAGTCATTTTCTAATCAACACCAAGTCGGTAAACACTAAGTTATCAACAAAACAATTTATGCTCCATTGCAAGTTTTCGCAACCATGCACCAGCCTACAAAATGCTGGTATTTTATCCTGTTCCAGCAGTGGAAACACATGCAGTATCACAGTATTACAGGACAATGCTAGGTCTATGAACCTGGTTCCAATCACGATCCTTTCCTTTCCTTCCCAGCACCAGTAACGTCCCCACAGTGAATCACGGCAGAACTTTGCTTGTACTCTGCAATCGCAGCAGTACATCTACTTATTATTCCTACTTGCTGTGCATCGGCAAGACCCGGTTGTGACGTGTGAAAAATGACACAAGACGTAAAGCGGCGAGGAGATGAGAATGGTTAAAAGCAGGGGATGAAAAGTGGTAATAAAACGGGGAGTGAACGATCTGGAGTCACTGACAGCAGGTATCAAAGAAACACAGACAATTACAAGGGCATGACCATTTCAGCATCTAAGAAAAAAGAAGAAGAAAAGGACACCGGTGCCCCCCAAAAAATGATGGTTAGGGTAAGTGTAAAAAACGTACGAAAACACACAAGCACTCTGTGCAAAACAGCATTCGTTGATGAGCGGGCCAAGTAACTAGTTCCAGTGAGAAGAAAGATTCGAAACAACAACAATCCCGCATTGTTGACGAACATGCCTCGTTTACAGGCAAGATACACACAATAAAAAGCCTAGTTCAATGTTCCATCACAGCAAAAGGTAAACATAGTACATGTAAAAAGAAACTTGCAGACAAGCTACAATCGGATCACCAACACAATGATCAGTTAATCGCCATTACAAAGTATAATCAGACGCGACATCCGAAAGAAGTTCACTGGCGACGACACACGCCCAGCATGGACACAGCACACACCAAATGGAACACAGCACACAGCAGGTGGGACACAGCACACTTGTGGAGGATATGACCCTCGTTACATGACCCTCACTTGACTCCATGAACACTGCAGGGCATAGCAGCAGACCGTACTCACAGAGCAGACATGCCGTGCGCAACTCGACCTGCAGAGACCTGCCATCAGCCAGACGGAGATAAGTAAGGAGGGCGCACTGGGAGCCGAGAACAACAGTCGTGCATGGAAGGCGCCTGCGTCCCTTCACGCAGTACAAATCCACAATAGAAACACCCATCCACTGTGTATTGTGTGACGCAGGCCTTGATGCAACAGCAGTAAAGACACAGCTGAGCGGTCCCGTCCCCCAACCAACATGCATCAGTAGCAGTGGAGTCAGCAGCAGCAACGCCAGACCAGCAGGAGTAACAGCAGACCAGCAGGAGTAACAGCAGACCAGCGGGAGTAATAGCAGATCAGCGGGAGTAACAGCAGACCAGCAGATGGACAACTACCGATTCTAGTGATGTATCCACAGATTGTACGGTGGCATTGGGTGATAAATTGCTCTAACAGAGCAGACCAGAAAGATGATTGCTTCTCGAAAAGGTGAAGAGACTCTTCTGCTCCGGCATGTTTACAGCTTCCCTTGAACAGCACATGCACACAACTGAGAAGAGAGTGTTAGTCAGTTACAGACTCTGAGAAGACAGGGTCATTCAGCCACAGGAAGACTTGCAGGCTGACTACTCCGTTCTGGATTTCTGCCACTCGAGGAACTCTTTAAATTTCTGCTTAGTCTCGGCGGAATCCACGTTTGTGGTGGCCGATGTGGAAGCATGCGAGCGATGCCATGATAAGAAATCTTGAAAGGATTCATCATCCAGGCTGGACCTGTATTGGGACGAACAGAGAGTGTGTACATGGCAGCTCATGAGAACAGTCATCACATCGCACATAGCACACACCACACACATCCACCCAGTTTGCGGCTACGCACTACACACACTACGGGCAGCGTGCCACACCAGATCCCAATGTACACACGCCCATGCACTAGAGGTAACGGAGGACTCTTTCGACACCAGTGTTCATGGGGTTGAATTTTGGATGGATAATTCAAAACCCAAGCCTGAAAACTAGAGGTTTGAATTAAACGAAGTCAACTCTGCTGAAGGACGTCAGTCCAGCAACACCAAGAAGAGATCACTAGTAGTAGTAGAGTGTTTCACAACATTATGGGACAATAGATTAAATAGGATGGCAAGACCATGTGTGTGATGGGGCTATGGTCGCATTCTTGCCCTGCTAAATTGTTCACCAGTAGCACTGTTTTATGAACTTATAATAACTCACGCGAGCACCTCAAACTACTCACATTTTTGGCGCAGGCTTGGCAGGTTGTGACGCTGCAAGACATTGAGGAAACGAGGGAGAAAAGGAGAGGCAATGACGCACCAGAAGGCAATGCGTCTTCGACAAGAGAGTGACTCTTGCTTATAACGATACACGTAGAAACCTACAAATACCCAGTCCCTGTCTTGAATACCACACTCCAGTGGACCAACAAGACTCAACAGCCTTAAAACATCACTGCGCAGTGTATACTAGCACCGCAAAGTACCGCCAGAGCGCCCCACCATCTCGTCCTTTTGTGGTCGTATTGTGGAGGTGGTCTCCTGTCTGTAGGTCATACGACACGAACGGTGTACACATATTGCACGTTGTGCAATCAATCCGTACCTTCGAGCAGACATGAGCTCCACACAAAAATCCGCCATTAAAGTGGGACCTTAGTACACTAAGGTTCTCACACCGTACAAACTTCGTTGCACTCTGCCACACGATTTTCTTTTCCGTTACTGTAAAAATCAAGGTGGCGCGCTCCGGCGGTACTTAAAGCTACATGTATATACACAGTGTACACATACACTCACCCACAGCTGAAGATTGTGCAGGCGCGTAGGACTGTACAGACAGCACAACAGAGACACACACACACACACATACACACGCATGCATGCACACACACACACACCGGTGTCAATACATGCCAAACACACGACAAAACCAAAGCGAAGTATAAACCCCTGTCCCTGCACAACCAGTCAGGAGTCTAGCACAGGACAGTGTACGTGTCTGATACTCACCGGGTTGACCTGTCTGTCTGTCTGTCAATCTGTCTGTAGTTGAGGACTCTCAGTGAAGTTCTTTAGGTGACTGGAAGCTATCGTGGTACACAGACCATTAAAAAAAATTCAAGACAGCAGGCGTGCAAGTCGTTAGACTGGCTTGTACTCACCGACATGGGATGTGCGGGGACTCTCTGTACCGGTGGTACAAAGAGTGGCTGGCGAACGGGCACGTAGGCGGGGTGGTTAGCTGGCTGGAAGAACTGCGTCATGAGTGGAGACTGAGGAACGGGCGAGGTGAGCACAGGTGGTAGGAAAGGGTTGAACGGCATCGGACTGCAGCCAGCGGGCCTCATAACTTCTGCCAGGCTAGGTAGCTGCCTTTTCAGCTCCCACTCCGCCGCACCGGTTTTCACAATCAAATCGCGTGTTGCGCTGCGTAACACACATGAATGTACACACGCACGCAGAATGAAACAATGTGCAAATCTATAACACCACGCCATGTTTCGGCATGCGCGACGCGCGCCCACATTTGCCCACACCTGCAAGACCAGGACTTACGGTGACCAATTGTGTTTGGCCTGCAGAGCTGCCAGCTGCACCATCACAGCCTTGTACTTGGTTCGATCGGGATCCGCGAACAATACCTCGCCTGACCTCTGTGCGATAGTAGGCACATACAGCAACACAAAACAAGAGAAACCGGGGAAGAGAACGCTGGATACTGCAATGGACAGCTCATGGTGTAGCGCAGTCCAGAGAAGAAGTGAATACATCTTCCCCAAACCTACACACACGCACACACACGCACACATACACACATTGCACATGCTCACTGCCAGAAACTGGTCACGTGGCCTACTCATGATGTCTCAGTACTGGTGGCTTAGTGAAAAGGCATATGGAGGCGCTCCATGTGTGCTTTCCTGCCACGAGGTTGGATTCGGCTAGAAGATGGCATTCGTAATGGCCGCCATTGGACAGGCTGAATTGATCGATTCATTCGAGGGACTCACCAGATCGCCAGTCGACAGTTGTTGGATGGCTAAACATTACAAGGTGACTTTGATCGATGGGCAAACATAGTTGGTTTGGCTGCGCTGTTGTCGTGAGCAACAGTCACTCCTTTTTCTTGTATCTTGTTTCAGGACGCACTTTAGTCGATTTTTTGACTCTGCCCAATATCCGAGGAACGGACCAAACTGTCATAGTGGCTGGATGAGGTTCACCCAGGGATAAAAAGGAGCCAACTTTGAGCGAAATCGGAAATTTGGCCATGTCTGGTGATGGTTGGTGGCTACAGACATTTGATACTAATGTGAGCAGCTAAATAGGAGCACAAGCACATACGGTATTTTCTGAAATGGAGGTCGGTCTTTTATTACCGCCTGTCTGAAACAAGCGCCACACATCAGTTCTGGGATTTTGTGTGGATTTCTTTTCAAATTGGGTGAAATATTCGGGCTCGAAACACTACTAAGCGCCTCGGCCAGTATTACCGAGAATACAGTACACACACACAGAGCGCGCGCGCACACACACACAGAGCGCGCGCGCACACACACACACATACACACAGAGTGCACACACACAAGCCATAGATGCCATAGGTCCTACCTTCAATAGGTTGCATGCAGCTACACAACAGTCCTCATGTCCACTCGCCATAAGTACTTCCAGAGCAGAGAGAATTGACCCCGTTAAGCTAGGCGATATGCAATGTTCCTGCAAGGCAATGCAGGTGCAAGTACAAGCTCATAGGCTGTAGAAGCCAGAGTCCCATGCTTGTCATAGGCAATACCGCATAGGAATTACTATTTGGAGCCAGGGCACGTCGTTACAAGCATTCACTACACAGCATAGCCTAGATCATACCCGGGGTTCAAGAGCACACTTGCAAAACGCAATACATGTACTGCCATACCCCCCCCCCCCACACACACACTGGTAATTAGACGAGAACGGAAAAGTCTCCAGTAACCAACAACACATTGCACTGCGCCGTCTATCTTGTACATACAACAGGCATTCAGCAACTGCTCTTTCTGATGAGTTCCCAGACCGTGTGACAGGATCAGTGCAGTGCACAATGATAGTGAATGGCCATTTTATTTCACAATACTATCAGAAGAAGGCCTGGAACTCACTCTTACTCAGATGGCCAGTAGTTTAGTTCAGGCAGTTTGAAGGCACAGCAAAGCGCACGCACTAACCTTCAGTAGGGTGCAGGCGTGACCGAGAAACGCAGCCAGGTTACGTGACATACGACGCGTGGAGTAATCCGCAACCAGCTCGTTGTAGTTCTCCATCACCTTGAAGACACTGTGCACACACACACGTACACAAATGTAATGTCAACGGACAAGAGGAAGCTGGGTCAGGAAACCAGCATAGGAGAACTAGTGACTGAGATGCCTGCACGGTGCCTACAACGTAAAAACAGTGTACTAGTATGTGCCGTCAAAACTTACCTAACAGGCAGTACACTTGACAGTGTTACACCGGCATCTCGGAAATAGATCGGTGCTATACCCTCCAACAAGCGCGCACCATTCAGAGCAAACGTGTCGTGTTCCTTTGCCTGCACACCAACACCATACAACACAACACAGCGAGAGAGAGACAGCGAGACAGCGAGAGAGAGAGAGAGAGAGAGAGAGAGAGAGAGAGAGAGAGAGAGAGAGAGAGAGAGAGAGAGAGAGCAGCAGCAACACGTGTTAAATCTCCACGTGTAGACACACAATCCAGCACATACTCTTCAGAGGCCCTGGCACGCCATACCATCAGCATATTGTACATACCTGATCGATGACAAACTGAACAGCGGCCATCACCGCTTCTTTGTTGGCTATCCACGATGACATTGTGTCACGCAGAGAAGTCAACTTAAATATCCAATTGGACGGATTGTTAATAGCCAAGGTAACCACCTAAAATAAAAATAAACACAAACACAAACCAAAACTAGTATTTGATAACCGCAATCAACAAGACAAGCTGAATCAACATTTGTGCATACTTTAGTCATGCAATGTAAGACTTGTTTGAATCCTAATTTTTCTCTACACTATTTATTTCTTCCTATTTTGATCGCTTTATTGCACATTGTCTCCACCGTTTTACATTGCATGAATAAAGTATATACAAATGTCGATTCAGCTTGTCTTATTGATTGCCGTTATCAAAATATTGTCTCCTCGCCGTTTGCTAAAACTAGTATTAACCCTTTACCATCCGTGCGTACTTGAATCGATCTCTAGAGATCGATGGACATGCATACACTAAAACATTCGTAACTCGATCGATTCTTGTCGGAATGTAAAGAACTAAGTATCTAGGAAGACGCCGAAGAGCCCAGCTTTCCATTGCATCAATCGGTAAAGAGCTACGATGCCGCATTCCAAAGATATTTCGCTCGACATTTCAGCTACAGCAAAAGTCGAATTTCTTTCCGAGTGACTGACCTTGAGCGAGGATTTTCCCCTCTCCTGACATGCTGAGTCACTTTAGCATGTTTTGTGCGCGTGGGCAGCATGAAAAGAAACTCAAGCAAAAAATTGGAATGTTTACGATGAAGGAGCGAGAAATGGCTGGCGAGGAGAGAATTTCCTCGTATATCCAGCGATGGGGTGTATTTGAAGCTCCCTGGCGCTGGATATGTGACCTCGGTAGTGTCCTGTTTGAGCTCAATATACGCAGCTCGTGGAGAGCTTTCCAGAATGCCCAAGATTGTGAAAATTGGTTGATTAGAACCGAAGATATTCTCAGAATGAGGTTAGAATTATTGCATTTGGGACTTCTGGGGAAATTTGGTCGGATGGTAAAGGGTTAAAAAACAATTACCACTATAGCTAAGGGAAAAGTGACATTTTGCTTTGCTCATGCATACGTCAACAGACATAATCTCCTGCACCCATTTTCCTTGGAAGAAGGAATCTGTTAAATAATAATAACTTTATTAGGATGACCCAAAGGCTGACCGCCTATCGTGGGGTCCGTTGCATTGAAGGATGATGGTACAAGAGAGTACAGATTGGGACGAATCAGAATGATTTCTTCTGTTTGCAAACAAGATCAGAGCAATGGCACGCATGCGCTATTGTCCAGGGACTCCACGTAGTGACTCTAGGTACCGGTACAAACCAGAATACATGCCTACAAGTCAAAGCAAAGCAGTTCGACCCAGAGTTGACCTGTCTGCGTTTTGGCACTAGCAAACTGCACGAACCAGACTATGCGGTTCCGCCTGGGTTTGACCTACGGCGAAATTCTTTGTTGAAACTTGACAGCAACTTATCTGAAGATCATGGCTTATACCGTACGAGGCATGCACTACTAGTGGGTGCTCACGTGGACTTGGCCGGGTTTCACGTTTGCTAAACTCACGATGATAAGCTACGGCAGTGGGAGAAAAAGTTAACATCTTCTTGTCTTTGACAACGACAAAAAACACAAACTGGCAATGATGACTGCGTACTCCGTTACCCAGCGCATGCGGCATCACACGTTCTAAAGAAGTCAACAAACATTCAGGCATGCACCAAGCCAGCAGTGAGGTTGCACACACACTGACGTATGCACTCTTGGTACAATAGCCGGCGAAAGCATACCTCGTGCAGGTGCTTGAGCGCCACCTTGCTTGATTCGTCTATGTCCACCCACGCAGCTGGCATGGGTATCTTGTTGATATTGGGAAACAAAACAAGGAACATAACAGAGCACAGACAGGCATGCACGTACACCCACACACGCCCACACATACACACAAACAAACACGTGTATGGTTAAGGTTAACATAATAGGTACACACTTTGCACCACACCCTGAATCACGGTTTACCAGCAACTGGCAGCGATATGGCGATGCACATATCGAGCGTTTTCATTTCGTCAACATGATTACTAGCGACAATTTACTCTCGTTAGCTGAAGATCCCTGCTCCCAACGTTGGAGCTCACGCTACTGAACCGGCAGCGAAATCGCCCAGAAGCACCATTCAATACCTGACAAAGCTCAGCACCCCCCCCCCCCCCATACACACACCTGCACACAAAACAAACGCACGCAAACACACACACACGCACACACTCAACTATAGACAATGAATGTACCTTCCGTTTAGTTGCAGACGTGCCGGCAACGTGTTTCTGCGGGATGAAGAGCTCTGCGTGAACAGCACCCGGTGTCAGTGCAGTCTTGGTGCTGCTGCTACCACTGGTGGTGTTCGCTGCTGTCGCACTAGAATTGCTACCCGTACTGCTGGTGCTGCTGGTGCTGCTGGAGCGGCTGCGGTGGCCATGGCTGTGGTCATGGCTGTGACCATGGCTGTAGCCATCGCTGTGATCATGGCCGTAGCCATGGCTGTAGCCATTGCTATTACCATCGCTATTGCAGTCACCTCCAATGATGTCACTGCTGCTGCCATTGTTGTTGCTAACATTGCCGACAAGATAGCCTTGCTCGGCAGCGTCATTTCTTGCAATGCCGCCATCACTATCACCAGTTATGACATTCTTGTTGGTAACGCCAGAACTACTATCATTGATATTTAGAGTAGAAGGAGGAGTATAAGCAGCCGGCTGGGAAGAGCGGTTTGGCTCACTAGCAGTACGCATGAAGGAAGGAACAAACACCTCCGACGTCGCCGACAACGTGGGAGAGGGCCTGTCGGTGGCCGGGTGAATTACTTCCGCCGCCGGAGGAGCACTAGTCTGTGTGTCTGCATTACTCAGAGCAGGCACGCAGTCAAGAGTGTTGGGCGCTGGTGATGACGGTGACGTTCCAGCGTTGCTGTTGCTGGGGCTAGGCATATTGCTGACCAAAGGTAGAGTTCCAGTGTTGCTGTTGCTAGGGCTAGGCCTTGTGTTGCTGACCAAAGGTAGAGTGCGTTTCTGTGGTGTCTCCTGCACCACCGATGACTTCACTGAGCTGATGATGACACACTTGCCGATGGGGCGATCACACTCCACAGATCGAGATGCCGCCACTGGCAGGGGACTCGTCTCCAAACTGCTGCGGCCCCTGCCCTGACCACGCGGGGTGGATGCCAGCCGACTGATGCTCTGTGCGGAACCAGGACGTCCGGAAGAACTGCGCTGTCCTGTACACCGGAAGCAGAGCCAGAATGCAGGATATTGGTGCGTGTGACACGGTGGCCACAAGATACAACAACATACACTACATACCCTAGCAATAAACACTTGAGGCACCATGTCCACAGTGCACCAGTACAACTGCACACACGTCGCTCCATTAGCCCTGCTGAGACTGACAGACCAACACTCTAGAATATCAGAGCATTTCTTAATGTTTTTTTAATCATAACTCCAGTTCTAGTCACTCAACCTTCACAATCTTGGGCTTTATGGAAAGGTCTCCACGAGAGGAGAAAACTGAGGTTGACCATGATGGCCAGCACGCCAAATCTCAAGCTCTGGAGAGCAGCGGCTGTACAACAATGCTCCAAATGGATGAACTTGAGTCCTGCTCCAAATCCTTTAATTTTCCTCGTTCGCTGAGTTTTAATGTTCCCACTGCAAACTCTTGAAAACACAGGTGAAACCTGCACAAATTCGATGAACTCAGTATGACGAGACATCTCGAAATTGTCATCACTCGAGTCATAATGATTAATGTGAAGTTGCCGTGATTGCGGCTCAACTTTCAAGCGATATATCTGCGGGACCGTTGATTGCAACACGTTGCAGGCAGTTTCTACTGACAGCCGAGAGTTTTCTCCTTGACCTGGATATTTATTTAAATAATTGAATTTGAGCATTTTTCTAAGGGTTCGCAAACTCCATTGCAGCCACCTACACACACTTTAGTTAGTCTGAACACTCACTAACAAAATTAATTATGGTCTCTCTGCTGCAAAATCTCTCTATACTGATTCACCAAATTATCAGGGTAACAAGAAAGCTGAAGACGGAAGAAAAAAATGGAGTAGATGTGCTGTGAGGTGCAGCAGAACAGTGATAAGATGAGTTAAGGTACGGGGAGAAAGGGAGTTGTGTTTGATGTCCATGTGAACTTCCTGGTTGTGCCGTACTGTACATATCAGATATCATCTGTCTTCACACTTGGCTTCACACGCCTGGCTCCAGTTCCACAGCATTTACTTCTATTTCGCACTAACATATTCACACACAGGCACAGCTCCCCACTTCTCTCCCTCCATTCCACCATCGCTCCTACTCTCCACGCATACACAACTTTCATTAAGCTGACACATGTTGTTTTAATATAGCTCATCTTCTCACGTTGTACAGCACAGCACCTCACGATATCATATCTAGTATTTTTCATATCTTACTTGTTCGTCTTTAGCTTATTGTTTCACCCTGAGAATAGGTGATGTCACACATGCACTCAGGAGTGGCAGTTCCGTTGAAGCGATGCCGCAGACGCGTTAAGTACCATGGCAACTACGGAAAGTAGAACTACCACTTCTGAGGAAGCTCAAATTCGCTGCCTCAGAGCTTTTTGGGGGGGGGGGGTGCTCTCGCTTTTGCGGTTACGCTTCGACGGAAAACACCACATTCTGCCGTATATGGACTTGCTACGACAAATGTGTATGCGTGTGATGTGTAGGCCATAAAAGCGTGGACAATCTTCATCGTCCACGTGGATTTACCGTGCCATACGCACCACAATCCACTTTACGGTCACAGTTCTGCCAAAGTAGGAGCTTTATTTGTCTGTACCAGTGACCATACACGACTGGCTCTGCTGAAGGGACACAAGCCTTGCTGCCGCAGAGCCTTGCCGCCGAAGGGAAACCGCTGTGCTCGTGTGACCGGGCCATTAGTGGAGAACATGGAGCTCTGCATGTCCCAAACAGCTGTCTGTTCCCAATGGAGCACCTCTGAGACGCTTCATGAACAGCACACATAGCCATGGAGATATAAAAGAATCCAGCCGTGAGTAGGCATGTGCACGTTATAGTTTATTCACTTTGTTGGGGGACTGTTGGGGCCAAAATTTCATCAATGTAACATTCTCCTCAACATCTGTGGACGTGTACATATCGCCTTGAGAAGTCATTCTGTGAAATAAAAAAAGGGGTTTCCCCACCGTATAACTACTGTTACAGTGGTCCGAAGGTCGCAAATGTTGCTATTTCGTCTGAAACTCTAATGTTTGAACCAAAATACAGGAAAGCCTGCCCTAACCAGATGCCCTTGCTGCAGCGGAAACTGTCCTGATATGACAGGATTCCGCTTGATCCAGGGATTCACATTCAATCCACAGCACTTTGGCGCACGGAATTTGTCCGGTCAATACATGATTCCGCTTGGTACAGGGTCCGGCAAACACAGGTTTTACTGTATCACAAGGAACAGATATGGGGACCCCAAATTTTATCGCAGATTCAGAATCAGCATGATTTCTCTACCAAAAATGAGCGAATTATACAATGAAATCGATGTGAAAAGTGACCACAGACTGTGTGGCAATGGCTGAAACTGTAACCTTAAAACTTTTCCAGGAACCACTCTCCCTTTCGCAGCGCGTCCGAATATGACAGTGCGTATCCTTTCGAGCTGGTTCTTGCCGGGGAAATGCCAGTGGCTCATCGCAAGCACTGAGATTTCACGGGAAGTATAACGTTATTCACTACGGGCAGTATGTTTATTATTATGATAATTTACTTGACTTCAACACTCATCAACAGTAAGAGTCAAAAGGATGCAGGGGTATTTATTTCGGGCAGCATCATCCACCAATCACACCATTCCAACACAAAATGCCAACAACCAGGTGCGAGAAAGGCAAAGCACACCGGCGTCTCATGAGGATTTACCTGCGGAAAGCTTCCGTACTTCAGAGTTCAGCAGCTCCAGAGTCTCGGCTGCCGGTTGCCTGTGACATGAAAACAAAGGTCGTTCAGGAGCAGTGCAGGGCTTTTTAACAAGCAGGAGTCAATGAAGCGATTACACTTATAAAGTACCAACTACACTCATACAGGGCCCGGTTAGCCGGACCCCGTGCGATCTACCGGGCACCATTTGGGCCAGTTTCAGTGGAGATTAATACTATTCTTTTGGCACTTTTTGTGGAAATAGCGACGTCGTACACCATATCTATGGCGTTTCCCCCCATCAAAATGTATGACAAATGTGATTCGGAGTTACGGACATTTCAAAGTTACGGGCAGTGCCCGGTCCCCGGACCGCCCGGATAAACGACGTATGAGTGTATAATAGAGAGGTTCCGGGGTACGATTTTCCGTGCCAAAATCCGTATGGGCGCTACGGATTTTTTCCAGGCGTGCTCCATACGATTTTTCGGCACGAGAATCCGTGTGGACTGGCTTTCATACGAACTATGCTTCGTATGGAGATTTTGCGTCATCGGGTGCAGAAAGATTTTTCGCGTACAAATTTGGTACGAGAAACATCGATTCTTCGCGGGAAGTTTTGATTTCGGTACAAATTTTCAAAATAAAAAGGCATAGCGCGGGAATGTGACGTGTTTGCGATCGTAACCTAGGCAATGACGGCAAACACATAAGTTCCGTACCCCGGAACTTTTCACTGCTCGAAAACGACGTAAAAAAAATCCGTAGAGCCTCCACGGATTTTGGCACGAAAAATCGTACTCCGGAACCTCCCTATTATTACACCAAGAGTACATGGTTGAGTACTCTTGGTTATACACTGCACAACCGGGCAGAGTCAGGCCGGCACGGCCAGTAAAAAAAAACTACGAACAAACAAAATTTCGTAAGCTACTGCTATGGAAATCGTGAAAAATAATTACATGTACGGTAATTGCAATTTTCGGACAAGACTCGAAGTCAGTGTCAAAACAAACTTCCCAACTTCCTGACAGCGTACCTGACTTCCTTGACAATTCTGCCTCGTCCACGACCTTTGCTTACGGACGCCATCTTACACACAGCTCCAAACTAATCTGTTACACTCTCACCGACAACCTTCACATCAGATGCGTGGAAAGGGCAAAACACGATATCGCACAGACGTATCCGGCCTGAAACTAAGTTACTTCTCAGGAACTTTAAAATCTCACAGGAACTGAGAACACTACAACGAGTACGCGAAACAGAGTACAGGCAGGATATTTCTCTAAAGAAGACCCACAAAACAGAGAAAGAGACGAGAATCTAGTAGCAGTAGACCAAAAACTAGCATAGCAATGTACTTTTGGAAAGGGGAATGCAAATGAATTACCCATATAAAAACCGCTCTGTGAGCGGTTCTGAAAAACCTCTACTGGTGCAGCCCCGTCGTAAAAGTAAGAAATTAGAACTGGCGCATTGTCCTCCCAAATGTGAACTGATCCACCTAAATCGCGATTGACGGGACCCGAACGCACCAGTAGCACGAGGTTCCTACCTGTGGATGCAGCTGGGGACGCTGGTCCATAGCCAAAGCCAAAGCGGCAAAGGTGGGCTTCGGGGTAGGTCTACGTACTGTAAGTGTTGTATGGTAACTTGATCAGCGCCGACGCCGGCTGTGATCCTGTGCCCTCCCGACCTCGTGCTACTGGTGCGTTCGGGTCCCGTCAATCGCGATTTAGGTGGATCAGTTCACATTTGGGAGGACAATGCGCCAGTTCTAATTTCTTACTTTTACGACGGGGCTGCACCAGTAGAGGTTTTTCAGAACCGCTCACAGAGCGGTTTTTATATGGGTAATTTCAGTTCTTTTTCTGTTCCCTCCCCCATACCGGCCCTGCTCCGAAGATGAACATGGTGAGCACGCGCGCGATCCACTGTATGTAGCCATGCGACTGCAGTAGCACACTGATACATTCCAGCCCTCCCTGCACACAGACACATTGTGACAAACACGCACATGCACATGGCACACACGGGCACGCACGCACACACACACACACACACACACACACACACACACACACACACACACACACACACACACTGAAGCGGGAGACAACGACAAGAAGAGAGAAGAGAAGAGAGAGAAATCGCAAAGTCAACAATATTTGGCATGGCGTTGCAAGTCCTGTGGCCTTGAGAACCATCTTTCGCAATGCTCGCATTCATGATGGCAGTTGTTCCTGGCTGCACGTGACATCCGTTTCGCACGGTCACAGTGATGACGGCTCAAACCAGAACGAGAGCGGAAAGAGCGGCGACAAACATCACATCGAAAAGAGTCAGATTCACTGACATGATGGCGAATAGATACAGTGGGGACATCCGTGGACACAGGACAGCGATGCACAGCCAGTCCTCCAGCGCTCCTCAACCACCGCATGCACTTCATACATTGCCTGGCACCCTTCTGTTGTCACACACACACACACACACACACACACACACACACACACACACACACACACACACACACACACACACACACACACAATGTACCATGTATACGCCCGTCGCAAGAGAAGCACGCAAATCTGCAAATGCACTGGATGTGCACCCACAGATTTTCTTTATAGCAACGATAGCGGATCTGATTCTGATTGAAACAGATCAAGACAAGCGCCAGATAACTGTCTAATCCACACAACTGGCGAAGCCATGCACACACACACACACACACACACACACGACCCAAACAGGAAATTCTTGATGAACATTGTATAATGCCATGCAAAGCAGTAGCCACCATACTTCAGGAAGTCAGTTGTGAAACAAAAATAATTCAACTACAATGTGTAGGTAAGCTGGCGGCCAAAGCACAACATTGCAGCGTGATGATATTTGCCTAAGGATTGCAGTTTGCAGACCACACCATGGAAGCAGTGAATACAGAATTATTGTAATGTCATACAAAGACAAGCAAAGAAGTGGCCACCATACACCAGAAACTTGCAGAAAGTCACATATCCAACAGATAGAGAAGTGAACAGCATCTGGTACAGCCCACACAAAACCAAGCTGACCTGATACTCGTCCGAAGATCGTAAGTGGCAGATCCTTTTCAACGATAGCATGCAGGTGTACGGTACACGCATGGACAAAATCTGACCGTGTCACCGGCATACATTGCCATCACATGCACAGTAGAAGCACAATAAAAGCAATGGAAAAATATGAAGGGGTTGCTGAAGCATCTTCACACTTCAATTTCAGACTTCGATGTGGTCGTCACGGGGTGATATACCTGCAAGATTCAAGTGATACAGAAAGAAAGCACAAGGTCGTGAGGTAGGCTATGAGACACCACAAATGGGTCACCTACATGTATGTTCAGGGCTGGTGTACACACACACGCAGAATTATCATAATCGAGAATTTCCCAAACTACAGAAGAGCAATGAAATCCATTTGCATGCACAGGAGCAATTTGCAGTATGATGCGCAGCTCGGGAATACACCTGTTGGCAATGAATTACATTCCCATTGGAATTCCCATTCACGTGGGATTCACAGAAGCAATTTGGCAGTGTGCTGCGCAATGCGACACGACCTGGGATTCTGCGTGCGATGCAAACTCGCATGCACAGGAGCAATTTTGCAGTATGATGCGCAGCTCGGGAATACACCTGTTGGCAATGGATTACATTCCCATTGGAATTCCCATTCACGTGGGATTCACAGAAGCAATTTGACAGTGTGCTGCGCAATGTAACACGACCTGCGATTCTGCGTGCGATGCAAACTCGCATGCACAGGAGCAATTTTGCAGTATGATGCGCAGCTCGGGAATACACCTGTTGGCAATGGATTACATTCCCATTGGAATTCCCATTCACGTGGGATTCACAGAAGCAATTTGGCAGTGTGCTGCGCAATGCGACACGACCTGCGATTCTGCGTGCGATGCAAACTCGCACAAAATACCATTCACAGAATCACGACAAGACGTCAGCGATGCAACAGTGCCTTGCTGACGTGCCTCAAGTCAAAGCTCAATGAGAATGCGTTTGTCGGTTACAACTGGTACAAATGTACAAGCAATTTCTGAAAATGCTCCTGTGAATCCTACTTTAAGCAGTGCAGGAATGTCCCTCCTCCGCTCCCCCCCCCCCCCTCCACATCCTCAGGGAACTTGACGAGGAAGGGTGGTCTTCGCGGTTCCCAACATCTATTTGCAGTTTCTGGTCTCCACTATGTCTTTTCAATGGGGATTTGTACGTACCATAAAAGCAAGCCTAAAAATGAACAGCACATTTGCCGTTCCGCCACTGGGGAGGATGCGTTCCACAGCTATCCTGACAAGATATTCCGAGAAGCGGTGCTGAGTGCAATGCATTGTGAAACTGAAAAAGCTGACCAAGCCGCGGCATATAACGTCTAAACTTCAATTGTAGTTCGCCAGCTGACTACTTTCAGACTCCATGTAGGTCGGAGTACATCTGGAAGTTCCACTCACCATTGTGCCGTCCTTCTTGGAATGCAGAAATAACGCTTCTTCTCGAGACCGCGGCCTGTGACAGAGAAAAAGGAAGGAGCATCGCTATCGGCATTGGTCCTCTGCTATCACCGATTGCCGAGTTGCACAGTTCACTCTAACAAGACTGAGGATGTTCAAGAACTCCCCATCCATACCATTATTGGAGTAAGAGGAAAGGTCAGATTGCCTAGTTCCACCTAGCATTCCTGGATGCCAGGATGTACTGCCCCCCGCCCCTCCCTTCTACTGCATGGAAAGGGCAACATATGTCACAGCGTTCACCAGTACAGTCGGAGGAGAACATGGGAGAAGGCAAAAAAGGGCAACACACATGAATCCCTTATAAACAAGCAGTGGCAACTCTAGCACCAGAAATGTTGGACTTACACCCCAGCCATTGCCGCCGGATTCAGCGGCTTCTTCTTCTTGGTCTTCCATCTTGGAAGCACTCCTTCCCGTAAGTTCAGTCCTGGGATCGGGAGTACAGTCGGAGGAGGACGTCGGAAAAGGCAAAAGGCAACACACATGATTCCCTTATATTAAAGCAAGCAGTGGCAACTCTAGCACCAGCAATGTTGGACTTACATCCCAGCCATTGCCGCCGGATTCCCACGCTTCTTCTTCGTCGTCTTCCAGTTCCCAGATTCCATCTTGCAAATACTCCTTCCCGTAAGTAAGTGCAGTCCTGGCCTGGGTGGATGCCCAGTACATTGACGATGGCGGAGATGGAGCAGGTCAGGGAGCCCTATAGGGGTCCCGAGAGCAGATTGCGGCCAAATTCGGGACGATGCCGGACGCCAGTCAGTATTACCCATATAAAAACCGCTCTGTGAGCGGTTCTGAAAAACCTCTACTGGTGCAGCCCCGTCGTAAAAGTAAGAAATTAGAACTGGCGCATTGTCCTCCCAAATGTGAACTGATCCACCTAAATCGCGATTGACGGGACCCGAACGCACCAGTAGCACGAGGTTCCTACCTGTGGATGCAGCTGGGGACGCTGGTCCATAGCCAAAGCCAAAGGCTGCAAAGGTGGGCTTCGGGGTAGGTCTACGTACTGTAAGTGTTGTATGGTAACTTGATCAGCGCCGACGCCGGCTGTGATCCTGTGCCCTCCCGACCTCGTGCTACTGGTGCGTTCGGGTCCCGTCAATCGCGATTTAGGTGGATCAGTTCACATTTGGGAGGACAATGCGCCAGTTCTAATTTCTTACTTTTACGACGGGGCTGCACCAGTAGAGGTTTTTCAGAACCGCTCACAGAGCGGTTTTTATATGGGTAATTTCAGTTCTTTTTCTGTTCCCTCCCCCATACCGGCCCTGCTCCGAAGATAAACATGGTGAGCACGCGCGCGATCCACTGTATGTGGCCATGCGACTGCAGTAGCACACTGATACATTCCAGCCCTCCCTGCACACAGACACATTGTGACAAACACGCACATGCACATGGCACACACGGGCACGCACGCACACACACACACACACACACACACACACACACACACACACACACACACACACACACACACAATGTACCATGTATACGCCCGTCGCAAGAGAAGCACGCAAATCTGCAAATGCACTGGATGTGCACCCACAGATTTTCTCTTTATAGCAACGATAGCGGATCTGATTCTGATTGAAACAGATCAAGACAAGCGCCAGATAACTGTCTAATCCACACAACTGGCGAAGCCATGCACACACACACACACACACACACACACACACACACACACACACACACACACACACACACACACACGACCCAAACAGGAAATTCTTCATGAACATTGTATAATGCCATGCAAAGCAGTAGCCACCATACTTCAGGAAGTCAGTTGTGAAACAAAAATAATTCAACTACAATGTGTAGGTAAGCTGGCGGCCAAAGCACAACATTGCAGCGTGATGATATTTGCCTAAGGATTGCAGTTTGAAGACCACACCATGGAAGCAGTGAATACAGAATTATTGTAATGTCATACAAAGACAAGCAAAGAAGTGGCCACCATACACCAGAAACTTGCAGAAAGTCACATATCCAACAGATAGAGAAGTGAACAGCATCTGGTACAGCCCACACAAAACCAAGCTGACCTGATACTCGTCCGAAGATCGTAAGTGGCAGATCCTTTTCAACGATAGCATGCAGGTGTACGTTACACGCATGGACAAAATCTGACCGTGTCACCGGCATACATTGCCATCACATGCACAGTAGAAGCACAATAAAAGCAATGGAAAAATATGAAGGGGTTGCTGAAGCATCTTCACACTTCAATTTCCGACTTCGATGTGGTCGTCACGGGGTGATATACCTGCAAGATACAAGTGATACAGAAAGAAAGCATAAGGTCGTGAGGTAGGCTATGAGACACCACAAATGGGTCACCTACATGTACATGTATGTTCAGGGCTGGTGTACACACACACGCAGAATTATCATAATCGAGAATTTCCCAAACTACAGAAGAGAAATGAAATCCATTTGCATGCACAGGAGCAATTTGCAGTATGATGCGCAGCTCGGGAATACACCTGTTGGCAATGGATTACATTCCCATTGTAATTCCCATTCACGTGGGATTCACAGAAGCAATTTGGCAGTGTGCTGCGCAATGCGACACGACCTGCGATTCTGCGTGCGATGCAAACTCGCACAAAATACCATTCACAGAATCGCGACAAGACGTCAGCGATGCAACAGTGCCTTGCTGACGTGCCTCAAGTCAAAGCTCAATGAGAATGCGTTTGTCGGTTACAACTGGTACAAATGTACATGTACAAGCAATTTCTGAAAATGCTCCTGTGAATCCTACTTTAAGCAGTGCAGGAATGTCCCTCCTCCGCTCCCCCCCCCCCCCCCCTCCACATCCTCAGGGAACTTGACGAGGAAGGGTGGTCTTCGCGGTTCCCAACATCTATTTGCAGTTTCTGGTCTCCACTATGTCTTTTCAATGGGGATTTGTACGTACCATAAAAGCAAGCCTAAAAATGAACAGCACATTTGCCGTTCCGCCACTGGGGAGGATGCGTTCCACAGCTATCCTGACAAGATATTCCGAGAAGCGGTGCTGAGTGCAATGCATCGTGAAACTGAAAAAGCTGACCAAGCCGCGGCATATAACGTCTAAACCTCAATTGTAGTTCGCCAGCTGACTACTTTCAGACTCCATGTAGGTCGGAGTACATCTGGCTTAAAAGTTGACAACAACGGCGCACCCACATAAGCAATGACCACCTTACCTGTACTGTAGCAGTACTTCCGAGTTCCCGTATGGGAGTTCCCTGCACTGTGTGTGCAATAGCAGCCTCATCGGACCAGTTCAATGCGACGCGGACAGTCCGACACTGAGGAGGACATTGAAGAAGTCAGAGACAGGAAGAATGGTTGATTTACAATTCAACTAGCAAGGCTGCACACCCACGAAGTTCCACTCACCATTGTGCCGTCCTTCTTGGAATGCAGAAATAACGCTTCTTCTCGAGACCGCAGCCTGTGACAGAGAAAAAGGAAGGAGCATCGCCATCGGCATTGGTCCTCTGCTATCACCGATTGCCGAGTTGCACAGTTCACTCTAACAAGACTGAGGATGTTCAAGAACTCCCCATCCATACCATTATTGGAGTAAGAGGAAAGGTCAGATTGCCTAGTTCCACCTAGCATTCCTGGATGCCAGGATGTACTGCCCCCCGCCCCTCCCTTCTACTGCCTGGAAAGGGCAACATATGTCACAGCGTTCACCAGTACAGTCGGAGGAGAACATGGGAGAAGGCAAAAAAGGGCAACACACATGAATCCCTTATAAACAAGCAGTGGCAACTCTAGCACCAGAAATGTTGGACTTACACCCCAGCCATTGCCGCCGGATTCAGCGGCTTCTTCTTCTTGGTCTTCCATCTTGGAAGCACTCCTTCCCGTAAGTTCAGTCCTGGGATCGGGAGTACAGTCGGAGGAGGACGTCGGAAAAGGCAAAAGGCAACACACATGATTCCCTTATATTAAAGCAAGCAGTGGCAACTCTAGCACCAGCAATGTTGGACTTACATCCCAGCCATTGCCGCCGGATTCCCACGCTTCTTCTTCGTCGTCTTCCAGTTCCCAGATTCCATCTTGCAAATACTCCTTCCCGTAAGTAAGTGCAGTCCTGGCCTGGGTGGATGCGCAGTACATTGACGATGGCGGAGATGGAGCATGTCAGGGAGCCCTATAGGGGTCCCGAGAGCAGATTGCGGCCAAATTCGGGACGATGCCGGACGCCAGTCAGTATGAAGTAGCGAATTGCGGACCGCCACGTAGATTGGGGTCGCGGGGTCATAATCCACGGGCACTACTCGTACGTACGTTGCTCCAAAAAAGGGCACTGCACTGTTCCACAGTTGCTGTTAGCGGTCGCCAAAGGCACTTGGTAGGCCGGTAATTGGGTCACGTGTCAACAATGTGTCAACAACGTGCCAACAACGTGTCGACCACGTGTCTTTAGCGGTACACTAATTTTGGTGTCCCCAAACTGAAAACATCGAGCACCAGTATGGAAAGGCTTTAGACAGAAAGCCTTTCCAATGAAGTAGCGAATTGCGGACCGCCACGTAGATTGGGGTCGCGGGGTCATAATCCACGGGCACTACTCGTACGTTGCTCCAAAAAAGGGCACTGCACTGTTCCACAGTTGCTGTTAGCGGTCGCCAAAGGCACTTGGTAGGCCGGTAATTGGGTCAAGTGTCAACAAAGTGTCAACAACGTGCCAACAACGTGTCGACCACGTGTCTTTAGCGGTACACTAATTTTGGTGTCCCCAAACTGAAAACATCGAGCACCAGTATGGAAAGGCTTTAGACAGAAAGCCTTTCCAATGAAGTGGGCTCAGCTGACAGCACGTGTTCGCTTTGGCCGAAACGGCAAGAACGTGTAGTGTGAGCATGAGGTGTACAATATGCGGTTTCCCGCGACAACTCAAACAGCGCGCGCGCGGTACCACACTCAGTCCACAGGCTTTTTTTTCTTTTTTTTTCAGGCTGCATGCATGGTAGATCTACATCATGTACGTACTGATGACGATGTAGCCTACGCGTACTGCATGCTACAAATACATGTACCGTACTAAAATAGGCGCCGGCGCGCCTTACCTGTACTCGAGTACTCGTACTACTGTCTTCCCGGATCCCGCTAGCTAAACATGCCCCCGACCCGTTGGTAGGGGCAACAGCATATGCGTGGGCACGCGTCGGCGCGGCGTGAACTGACTGTCGACATGTCATGTACGAGACATGTAGATCGTACAGACCATGTTACATGTAGATCTACCAGGGAGTAGTACGGTATTGTACTACATGTACTCCCTGATACCGGTACAGCGTCTAGTTGTAGACAAGTACATGATGGGCCAGGTCATCATGACAAGAATGAAAACTATCCGGCCAGGTGACAGGACAAAAATAATGACATTGGAATAATGTCCACAATTCAAGAATCAACGGCCCGGCTGTGAGTGGTTTGGGTCTGCCACCTGTGATATTTTTCTTTGAGGGCATTCTCCCAGCGTAATGCGAGAGTAGTTGTAGGATCGAGAATGAAGAGTCAAAGTAGCTGGTAGATCCCTGGGCTGCCTCTCTGGATGGTTTCCTTGCAAACTAGCATACTTCAAGTTTGTCTTTGCAGAAAATAAATTGTGAGGTTTGGAGTTGAGCCTTCCCGTACGAGGCACTGGCAGCAGCAGCATTCGGGCAGCTAATCGTCAAGCACGATGGGGACAATCAGTATGCTGAAATCTGCGGGGACATACCCAACCTATGTCCTGTTCATCCTGATGTTGGTCTATCTTGTCAATCAAATGGACCGTTATGTGTTGGCTGTGTCAAGCAAGCCCATGGCAAAGGACATACACTTTGGAGATCGAATATGTGAACTGACCAATGGTAGCAAGTCAGCTGCTTGCAACGCAACAGACGAAGCCAGGTGTGTGTTTGTGTGTGTGTGTGTGTGTGTGTGTGTATGTGTCGTGCGTGTGTGTACGTGCGTGTGTGTGTGGGGGGGGGGGGGGTACATGATGTGCGTGTACATAGGTACATGTATGTGCGTGCATGCATATGTTCGTGTGTGTGTGTGTGCGCGCGCTTGAGCCACACAATGTGCTTGCGTAACGTTCCGTGTTGTATATTATATTATGTATTGTGTATGCATATACGCATGCATTCACATGTTTGGACATGGCCGTGCACTCACACGCTCGTGTTCCTGTGGGTCAGGAGTGATCATTGAAGCAACTCATCACTTACAATGCTTGTGGCTTTGTGGGAGAATACCACTGACCAGCCAGCCCCCCCCCGGGCCCCTACCACCACCACCGCACACATTTACACACTTACACACACCCGTCGTTGAAGAGTTAACGATCAGCTATGTTAAACAAAGCAACGTGTGCTGGGATTACACCACACACACGACACACACACACACACGACACACACACACACACACACACACACACGTATACACACACGTATACACACACGTATACATGCACATCTCTCTGTTCCTGACTCTCCATCATTTGCGATGTGTTTATGTGTGTGTGTGTGTGTGTGTGTGTGTGTATGTGTGTGTTTTGCTATCATGTACGCTGCAGCTGTGTCAGTAGCTTCATCCATGTATCCAATAACAGTAACGACACTATGGCTTGCGACTGGGCGTACAGCGGCACTGGAATTGAGTACGAGGTGCTCGCCGGTCCCGTCTTCATCGTGATGTTCACGCTGGTTGGCGTCACGCTCAGTCCGTTGGCTGACCGCAAGAAGACCAACCGCCGCTCTTGGCTAGGCATTGCCGTGGCGATGTGGTCACTGATGAACGTGCTGGCATCGTTCTCAACGGCCTATTGGCAACTGGTCCTGACTAGACTTGGCCTGGGCGTATTGTGAGTTTCTACGCGCTGCACCTGCTCCTTGTCTATTCGTTTATTTACTCATAACAAACGAAGTAAAAGTGGGGAGGCTTCCTGCAGTTTCGTTGGCCGTTAAGAGTAGAGCCCACACGCTCTCTTCCGTTAACACTGCAAAAGTCAAACTCATTGTGAACCTGATGAAGGCAATTTGCCGAAACGTTGGAATAATTATTGTGAAATGAGTTTGACTTTTGCAGTGTTAATGGAACAGAGCGTGTGGGCTCTACTCTTAACGGTTTTCTCCTAACAGTTACTGTAAATCAACAACTATTCGGCACATAATTATTTATTTTCTGCAATTTTCGGCCTAGGCATATTTGGCTGAAAGTTTGTTCCGGCCGAAAATTTGTTTTGCAAGGTTCAGTGTGCCAGTGTATACAGGCAGCAGCAGTACAGGCCGAAATTTAAATGACGCCAAAATGTGTTTTAGCCCTGGGAGGCCGAAATTTGACCTAGCTATGCGCCCAACACTCATGTGGAGTCAGTACAGCTGGCTCCCTTCTAGGCATCCTTTAGTTTCAGCCGAAAGACAAACGCCGGTGCTGCCTAAGAGCTCTCTGGTGCTAGTAATTCACTATTTTCTTGTAGCTAGTATACACGTGGACAAACCTTTCTCCACCTGCTCTTCCCTGAATTTGAGTCCCTCCTCGAGGGCAGCACTGAGGGCCATTCATATACAAAGTGTCTCAATCTGCGGACAGAACTGTTTCGTCCTTTGTGGACTCGTCAGCGCAGCACAGAGGAAATGAGGCCGAACCAAAGTGTCTATCGATACTAGTACACAACAGATAACTGAATGCAACTCGATAGGACATGGAACTGGATAACTGAAAATGCGTAGCAAGTGCTCTGTAAATCTGTGCCAAGCAACTTCAAGCAGATAGCAGGGGGAGCTGATAAATGAGGACCAAATAAACTTTGTCGAACTCCGGTGTTTTCATTGAAATTGAGCAGTGTGTTTTAAAGTTGTGTCGGTGGCTGCATTACGATGTACATGCACATGGTGCAGCCTTAGGGTACTGCCCTGCACCTGTTTTTGTTTAATGTGTTTCTGAAACTTGCCTTTTTTGGTGTGTGTGTGCGCGCGCGCGCGTGTGTGCATGTGCGTGCGTGTGTGTGGTATCTTGCTACAGTGAGGCAATATGTACACCGTTCGCCGTCAGTCTTATCAATGACTACTTTGACAAAGTAATTATAATTTGCATTCACACTGTTTTCAACTATCCTCTTTCTACTTTGAAGTATATGTACATGCACACAATCTGCAGGTAGAACTGTTTCGACTTTTGTGGACTCATTAGCGCCGCACAGAGACACATAATAAGTATATGCCCCATCATCTGGTGTGCCTGTGCACGTGTGACATATAATTCATGTAGCAGGGCCGCTTGTACGCGCGCGCGCGCGAGATGATTTACTACTGGCATTCAGCTCTAAACCTGTTTCTGCCTGCAATTTAGTGCATGTACAGATTTCACACTGGCAATGCCCCTGATGTTTTGCTCTTGCCCCTACTTGTGTTTAGAATCTACAAGGCACGGCTCTGGGGGTCTACAATTGGGGTATCTACATAGGGTTTTCAATGGCCTTTGCACTGAAGCTGCTCATCAAGTCAGTCGGTTGGAGGTGGACGTTCCGAGTGTCCGGTTTCCCGGGTATTCTCCTGTCAGCAGTCATGTTCCTAACCGTAAAGGAGCCGACAAGGAGATCCCTGTCGCTGTCGCCAGAGCCGGTGAGACAATGCCGTGCGTGTGTGTGTGTGTATGAGCCCACGTGACCCTTGTCGCAGTGGCTCAACAGGACAGGTGTGTGTGCGTGTGTGTGTGCGTGCGCGCGTGTGTGTGTGTGTGTGTGTTTTGGCTCACTTCATACGTATTGTATTGTGTGCAATGGAGACACCTTGTACTTTTTGATGTGTTCTGTGTGTTTGTGTGTGTGCACGTGCATGTTTCTGTGTGGGTGTGTGTGCTTACTACGACAGTCGATGGATAGTTCTGATGAGCTCGTGCCGAAGAAACGGGTGTCCAAGTGGAGCCGTTTGAAGTCAATGGTGCGCGAGCTGATGCGCTTCGAGATCATCCTGGTGGCGCTGACGTCCGGCGTGCGCTCGGCGGGGGGTTACGTCCTGGCTTACAGCGTCAACCAGTACTTCTCCGAGCACGACGTCAACGTGGCGTTCTACATGTCCTGGGTACCGCTCGTTGGAGGTGTGCTGGGCGCTGCGATTGGTGGCTTTGCCTCGGACCGCCTTTCAAAGAAGTACGGCCTGCAAGGTCGCCTCATGTTGCTGGTCGGATCACAGGTAGGCACGGCACAGCTTCATTCACCGCGTGAAGCCTCTCTCTTGCTTGTCAAGGCTGAACTTACTAAGTGCCTGTAACATGATGGTGTCTGCGTAGGCTGGTGTGTTGCTGGTGTGTTGCTGGGCTGTTTGTTTTTTTGCTACTCCTGCGTTGTGTCCGCGGGGTAAATGCGTTCGGATCTCGCGACAGACGCCCTGTTGCTGTCAATCTTTACTGGTCACATTGTCTTCACCTACGTCTTAGTGTTTGTGTGGTGAGCCCATGAGTAGATTCATATTGCCATATTTTGGGGGAGATTATGTGACCAGTTTCTGGCAGCGAGCAAGTACCAGTAAGTGTGTTTGTTTGTGTGTTTGTTTGTGTGTTTGTGTGTGTGTGCTTGTGTTTGTTTGTGTGCATTGCTGCAGCTTCTTGCCGTTCCGTTTGCGTTCGGTGTGGTCTACCTGCCCAACCCGGTGATGGCCTTCATCTCGCTGCTCATCACGTTTGTGTTTGGCGAGGCTTACCTTGGAGTGGCCATTGCCATAGTAACGACGGTTGTGTCGTCGCGTGCTCGCACGTTTGCCGTTGCCGTCTTCATCTTTGTGATCAGTAACATTGGCGGGAATGCGACGCTGCTAGTGCCGACGATGAACGCCGCGCTACCACACGGCTTACAGGACACGCTGACCATTCTCTATTGCTCGGGGTACATCATTGCTGCCTTATCCTTCTTCATCACACTAATGAAGCTGCGGCAGGTGCAAGAGTTACACACGCCGTCGTCCGTGTTGCTCGATGCCGCTCTGGACGCAGATGAAGAGTTTGAGTACCCGTCTAGTCCTGTCGACGACGGCGACGACCGCTCGGCCACCTCACCACTGATCCTTAACCAGCGCCGCAGCACTAGCAACACCAGACTCATGCCACGGCAAGCGTCACTGACGCAGGTCGACGATCGCGATATGGCCGAGTGCCAGAGCTGGTCTCAGGCCATTGCCGTCAACTGGCGGCGTAGCTCCGTCGAGAGTAGACAGCAGGCTGCAGCACACAGCGCTCCCACCACATATGGCGACGAGATGAAGACGTATCGAAGTACTGACGACGTGCAGCGTGCCCCTAAGACAATACATCATGAGGACGACGATGAGGACTTTGATGACGCGTTTCAGCCGTCGATCAGAAATAACACGGACGATGATTAGGTGCCTGGCCGGTGGGTGTTGTAAGATGTGTGATTGACTCTGGGCTGTGTGCTCGACAGCTTTACGGCAAGTCATGCTTCATGGACTTGCCTGGTGTATGTGAGGTATACGTTGCTTTGGCTTCTGGAGTTTGATTCAGTCACTGGGTGTTTCTGTGAGCAATTCCTGGCTTCCAGTGAGCCTTTCTCTGCTCCCATAGATGAACAACATCACGCTTCAATATCCCAAGTTACAGCTACAAAAATAGAGGCAGTTCCCTCTGCTGCTAACTTTTGTTTTGTCTGCAGTTGCTATGTGTTGGGCTGTGTATGGCTGCTGCATGCAGCTGGCCCTGTTCTAGCAGGCAATTGACCTACCCTGTACTATTGCTGGGCATTGTCATTTCAGCCAGCTTTCCCTGATACGTTTCGTTATCCACGGGTGCTCTGCCTAGATTTAACTTTTGGTTTCTAAAGGCCCTGGCCTACAGACCGATTGGTCTGTGCGAACGTTGAACAATGCTTTGTGTAGCTTGATCCACGTTATATTTATTACCTAGAAGTCCTTGTTCAGGATGTGAAAGTCATTCCCGTATCGCCACCACGACGTCTTCCTTATATTTTTTAAAGTCATTCCCATTTAACATCCCTTTTATCTTGTTATCTTTATCTACGGTTTTGTGCTGCCACTTTATGAAGATCCTAGCAAGTTCGATGTTTTTTATTGTAATAGTTTATTTTATTTATTCTTGTAGTGTGGGGGCAAAAAGGTGTCGGATGTGTGTCAGTAGCAGGGAGTCGTATGGGTCTATACGACTCCCTGGTCAGTAGAATGAATCTGATGTATCAGCAGTTGTTTGTAGCACCTCGCTGCCCAGTCCCTGCAAAGGCCATGTAACTTCCAGGGTACGGGTGTTCCTGGCTGCCCACCCGAAGTCCCAGAAAATTCTCTCTATCTTGTTTTTGAATAAACTTTTCATTTGTTTCGGAAATTTTTATAATATTAGTAGTGAAGTCTGATCTACAACATCAGTAACTAATGCTGTCTGTGGGGGGGGGGGGGGGGGCATGCTGCGTCCTCTGACGCATCTCCGGACACTGAACAGCAATTTCTTGGCCTGTTTCTCAGCCAGCTGCAGGCCTACTCAGGCTACTGCCTAACTGGGATGCACTTTTCCGACATGAACTCGCCCATGCATGGGCCGTGGATGCAGCCTCCTGGTAGAGATCATGCAGGATGCATTATTATGCTGCTGCAGCGGCCCAGTGTACTACAACGTAGTATTGTATAAGTACAAATTTTTGTTTGGAATTAACTTTCGCTATAATTATTCGTTTAGGGGGCACAAAACAACTAAAGTTCTTTTTCTGAACGTTCGGGGTGACAGAACGCGACCAAAAACGACTTAGTACGTAGCAAGCCTGCTGGTGGAATGCTCCAGCGAAAGATTTCGTGAACGAAAATAATTAATTTGTGCTTATATAATTATACAGTACATAATACCAAGAGTACATACCCCCCCCCCCCCCCGGCCCCGGGGTTATGTACTCTTGGTAATACCTGTACTCTTTTATTTCATTGCAATACAAGGGCAATAGGGCATGTATTATGTAGATTTACCCCATGCTTCCATTATGTGTTCATGCCAGGGAGTAGTACAATACTACGTATGTATTGTACTACTCCCTGGTTCATGCTGTGTAATGCAGGTTTCCAACCCATTGTCTTGAGATACCACATAGCACCAAGAGTAAAATAAGCTCTGGGAGCTTATTGTGCTCTTGATAATACAGTATACGCAACCCGAGACCACCATCGATGGCAAGTACAGCAATAGGTGTTACTACAATACACCATAAATCAGCAGATCCGGATGGCACAAATGCACCCGCCAGCTAGACTACAGTTGTAGCTGGCACGTGGGCGTGCACACACACAGACACACACGCATGTGAGCACATACACATACATACATGCACACACACACACGTCATGGCACAGTGTTATCCATTTAGACGCACAATTTTAGATGCGTCACTTGCATGAAAAATCATACTCAAGTGTACTCCAAAATATGGTGGTTCAGAAGAATGGATTTAGAACGTTCAACGATCAGCATACAGACTTTCAATAAAATTGGAATTCAACACCCAAGACGATAAAAAACAAACTCACATACAAAGACAGGAAGAGGCCAGCTACAATAACAGCAAGATGAGTGAGTGAGAGAGACCCATCCTAGTGACTACATGACAGATGTACAGGGTGAATATTATACAATACGGGGTGCTGGTAGCAGGGAGATTCAAATGCACAACAGCACAGTGCCAACAAGTCAACTATATACAGGAAAACAGCAGAATAGAGGAGCATGGGGGCAGTGTAGCGACTAGCAGCGGGTCTAACTGTCTTCCACCATCATGACAGCACCTTCTGGCGATGATGCTGTGCTCTCTGCACCTGTAAGAGAACTGCCGTAGAGCGGAGAGAAAGCTATATGCGGCACACCGGTCACGCTCAGAGAAGAGTTAAGATCGCTGTAGTCGGTCTCTTCAAATGGTCTACCGGGCCCGGCATCATTGACGAAGCTTACAGCCGGAGGTCCACATGCATCCTGGCTATTGCTATCAGTAATGTCTGCAGGGGCAGGCAGGGATGTTGCGCTTCCATCTCCGTTCACCATCGACACGGCTGCCAGAGCCGCTTCAGTCACGCTGGTCACAGAGGCAGAAACGTCGGCTTGCAATGAAGAGCTGCCAGCGGTTGCTGCCAGCTTCTCGGCCAGTGCCTGATTCCGCTTTTCTTCCTCGGCCTTGGCTTGTGCAGCGGCCTCTGCAGACAGCCGTTCCTTCTCCTCTTGCCATTCTTGGCGCAGATCATTCACAAACAACCGCTTCATTAACGTTTGCTCGGCAGCTGCTTCCTTTTGCTACACACACATACAGCAGGGGAAAGAGAAGAAGCAAACCATCATAAGTGTGTTTAGAAGTTAAACACATTTTAATGGGAGTAGAAGCCATGAAACAAAAGGGAAGACTCCCAAGACGTGCGGTCGAAAGGAAGCTGACAAAACAGTGACTTACCATGCTTTCTTTGAGCAGTAGTAAACGATATCTCTGAGACACTCCATCCTTTCTGGCAACAACATCGGATGCAGTAGTACGCAAGTTCTCTTCCACTGTAGACAGACAGACAGACAGGCAGACAGAGCATGTCCAAACCGGTGAGTACAATACAAGAGTAATGCTCATTGCCTGTCAGCCAATGCAATAACGGTGATCAGACTACCTTCAAACAAGATGCAGTGCTGCAGCCATTCAGCAAGAAAGGCTTAGACTACAGTAGCACAGGGAGTAGACCAAGCAGAGCTATACAGTATGATCAGATCAAACACAGCTACACAGCTACTCAGCTACTCATTGCAGGGACACGCGTGTCATTAGACTAACCTGAAGCGGTGAACGTGGGCAGTGGCTCCACCTCAGCAAACATGTGAAACGGCAGAAGGCGGACAATCGCATCTCCAAACGTGTTGAAGGGCTGCTTGCAGTCCGGGCCCAGAGCGATCTCTGTATCACGTCTCTTGGTTCGTTGCATGCTACAGCAGCACATGACACAGGCCACACAAGTATAAGCATACACACAGACGCAAGAAAAAGCTAACAATAGTAGAGCTGAGGATAACCAGAGATGATGGCAGAGTTCACTGCACGTGTCCTAATGAACTACTGTAAATCAACAAATTTTCGCCGATCTCCAAAAAACACTTTTCGCTGCCACTAAACTGTCGCCGTGCGCGTGCAAGAGTCCAAAAAAGTCCACGAGTTCAAGAGTCCAAAGTACGAGACCATGATAGGATCAAAAGCGATCACATCTAATTCTCTCTTGCAGCAGTACGAAGTGAATTGGGTTTTTTCAGACCTTCACTGACCTAGTCCTGCGCACAGATGTTTGTGTAACCAGCAGACCTACGCAGCAGTAAACTAATGATGTGTTGCTGTTTTCCTGGCTAAAAAATAAAAACCCTAATTTGAAAAATCGCTATGAGATACCCAAGCAACCGTTTCTTCCTGATCCGAACGAGGAGAAGAGCGACGCTGCAGCGGTGAGCTGCCAGTCAGCCAATGCAGAGATCGACTCGCAGTTGGCTGCAGATGTCGGGGCCAAAAGGCGACGAGGGAAGTAGTCCCATTATGATGATGAGCGACGAGCCCAGATTGCTCGCTATTCGAATGATCATCGCCTAGCTGCAACATCCGCGAAATTCAAAGTGCCGACCAGTACCGTCAACACCTGGAGAAACAATTTGCGTTCGGTTATGAAGAGCAGTCGCATCGGTCCTGAGTCCGTTACCAGTTTACCCAACCAGCCTGGTGGGAGACCTCTTCTTCTCCCTACCGACATCGACATTCGGGTGAAGAGACACCTCTATGCAATCCGGGATGCTGGAGGCATAGTGAACCGTCGTGTCGCCATTGGAACCGGCATAGGGTGTATCCGTGCAATGCGTCCTGCGCTCCTACAAGAGCAAGCCTTGGGCAGGTTCTCTCCTGCGTAGGATTGATTTCGTCAAGAGAAAGGCGACAAAGGCTGCCCGAAAGCTACCGGGCAATTTCACGGAGCTGAAGAGTGATTTCCACCGGCGTGTAACCTCTATTGTGGAGGAGCATAGCATTCCTGCCCAGCTTGTGATCAACATGGACGAGACTGGATTGCCCACTGTTCCGGTTTCACAGTGGACTCTAGAAGAGGCAGGATCTCGGCAAGTTCCTGTATTCGGCCTGGAGGACAAGAGGCAAATCACAGCTCTGTTGGCGTGCTCTGCAACAGGCACTCTCCTTCCTCCTCACACTGACGTCTCCAGCAATGATGAAGTGATCACCTGTGGCTGGGAGAAGGCTGGCTTGTTGGACGCCATCAACCTCACCAAATCGTCAAACTCAGCATCTCCTAGCACTGACAGCCCTAGGTGTACTGAAGCAGCAGATAACCTGCCCATTGTTTTACACACTAGTGTTTGGCAAAATGGTTTAGTCGCTGAGCACTACCTGCCGGCTTAGATGTGCCAGTCGAAGCTGGATGGCCGCCGTGGTGGGTCGAATGCGTGCACGGTCATTGCCATGTGTTTGGTAGATTGTGCGATCCAGAACGCCTTGTCGCTACCCAGTCCTGGTGAAGCAGGCTCTGAACCGGCAGGCTGACCTCACTCTGTTTAAGGTTTAACACTGCTTCATAGCATAGTGGAACCTTTTCATAAAGTCACAAATCATTCCATTCTCAACACTATAATATTATTATTTTGCACAAAATTGAACTTCTACATGAAATATCATATCAGAGAGGTTCCGGGGTACGATTTTCCGTGCCAAAATCCGTATGGGCGCTACGGATTTTTTCCAGGCGTGCTCCATACGATTTTTCGGCACGGAGAATCCGTGTACTGGCTTTCATACGAACCATGTTTCGTATGGAGATTTTGCGTCATCGGGTGCAGAAAGATTTTTCGCGTACAAATCTGGTACGAGAAACATGGATTTTCCGCGGGAAGTTTTGATTTCGGTACAAATTTTCAAAATAAAAAGGCAATGACGGCAAATACACAAGTTCCGTACTCCGGAACATTTCACTGCTCGAAAACGACGTATAAAAAATCCGTAGCGCCTCTACGGATTTTGGCACGAAAAATCGTACTCCGGAACCTCCCTATTGTCAGGCAATGACTGCTTCATAAAAATAAACACACCAAAAACAAACAGGATATACTAGTATCCTCTGAAACTTAACATTACTTGTATACATCATGCAATACATATTTTTCACAGCATTCATGCAATACTTGTAAAACAATTCAGCACTATCATGCAGAACCACTACAACTTGCACTGTTCTTGATACCTACTAGTACGTTTTTGTGAGTTCAACATCATAATAATACTACTAGTATCACATTCGAACTAGAAGCCACTGTATACATGTAATTATACCACTAAGTTATGGAGAAAGAGAACAATTTTTCTTGGCAAAAGAGTGACCCAAACTGACATTATTTGGTTTTGGTGACAAATTTGAAATTTTGGCCGGCGATTAATTTTGGCCGATTGGCATTGACCGGCAAAATCAGTGAAATTAAATCGCCAGCGAAAATTTGTTGATTTACAGTAAGCAAGCTCCAGCGCAGGCACTTACACATTACAAGACTTTCTCACACTGCATTCCTCCCGATTTGCTTGCTCCAACCAAGCTTCAAGTTAACCAATTTTCGGGCATGATCCGTCTCGACGTATGCTAGCTGTTTGGATCATAACTTCTTGTTGCCGCACATCAATTTTGGTAATATTGGGCTTTCAGGAAGCAGCGGCATGTTGTGCCTTCTTGAGCCTGGTGACTCCGTTATGGCAGACAACGTCAAGGGATTTGCATTGAAGTTCCGCTTGCCGTGATTGGTGTCAAGCTTAAGTTATACATGCTAGGCAAGGAAGACCAGATGGGTGCTGCAAACCTAAAGAAGACAAGGCGCATTGATGAACAGCGCATCCATGTGGAGCGTGTGACTGGTCGTGCAAGGAGGTATGCCGTCCTGAACCATGTCTTGCCTGTGAGCATGGCGTCTTTGGCATCCCACATAGTTCACACGTGCTTTCTGCTCACCAAATTTGACTAGCCTTTAGTAAAGTAGGTCTCTCTGTCTCTCTCTCTCGGTCTCTCTACCCCCCCCCCCCCCCCTTTCCTCTCTGCCTGCCTCTCCCTTCCCAACTACACACTATGCTTGTATAGTATACAGGCATCTCTGTCTGTCTCTGTCTGTCTATTTCTCTCTCCCTCTCTACCCAACTACACACTATGCCTGTATACAGTAGTAGTATACAGGCATATCGGCCAACACACAGCAGAACAACTGCACCATTCAGCAGCTGAGAGTAAACTAACCAAGAAGCCACTTTAGCAGGCGTTGTGGTAGAGGACGACGAATCTCTCTTCTTAGCGGCCTGTTTACAGCACAGCACAGCGTACCAACACAGACACACATACACAGACACACATACACAGACAGACACACCGACACAACAAAAATAGACAGAAGCACTACAGCACACACACAACAATTGCTATATTCTAACTTCCATAGCTAACTTCCAAGGTAAAGTAAGATAGCTCTGGCTGCAGAGGTAATGAGGAGAACAAGTAAAGACCAACCTCAAGAGAATACAACCGTGATCTCTTTCCTATTGGCCAGCTGAATAACGTACTGCCTTCAAAACTTCGAAATACATCACCGCATACTGTGGAAAATCAATCTACACTTTTTCCTTGCGGTTTGAATCAACTTTCGCACGGAACTGAAGTTCATGCACCCAAGATTAAGAGATCGTGTCGGTACTCAAGCGAATCGAGCAATTACGCGAGCTGCTACAAGAGATTGTGGATTTTAGACTTCAACTTCAAGAACACAAGGGCGTGATACAGGCAACATGAGGCAAGTAAGGTAAATGAAGGCAGTCCGCCATGCACTGATCCATAACGAGTCAGATGCATGCTGTTGGATATAGACTCTCGCTAAATCAGAATCACGTCACTAAATCGATTGGGTGCAATTCTAGAGTAGACCATACCGGAGTAGGTCTGCTGGATGTCACCACAGTGCTTGTTGTCGTAGCAGTACTGGTCCGCGCAGCCACTGCTGCTGCCGCTGCTGCTGCCGCCGCTGTTGTTGCAGGTGTTGCGCTGATGACCGTAGTGGTCTGCGAGACAGAGCTACTCACTGTGCTGCCGGCCTGCCATTCCCGATACGACAAGCACAACGAAGAGAGAGAGAGAGAGAGAGAGAGAGAGAGAGAGAGAGAGAGAGAGAGAGAGAGAGAGTCCACCACATGGCTACGGGGAACAATTCCATGAAATTCTCAAACCAAAATGGCCTATCTGTCAGGTACGCCAAGATGAATCCAAAATACATTTCAACCCCCGCCTATCCCGGAGATTCTCCACTGGCTCCCTCTAGGTTTGTGTACTGGTACTTAGAAAGAAATGTATCGACATAAACTCGTACATCCTACAGATACATTCAGAACCTTCCCAGCACTTTTTTTTCATCACAGGTGCAAGAACCACACTACCATAAGTCCATAACTACGCCGGGGCTGGTGACCAATGAGAGTGAGATGTCCTAGATTGGGCATCTCCAGTGAGCAGTGAGCAGAGCACAGCTACAGGCATAACTAAATGTAAGTGTAATACCTTAGGTTTAGAGGGTGCAGGCGTGCTTGGTGCAGTAGTGACAGAAGTGGCAGTGGTTGTTGCAACATTGGTCTCTGGTGTCGAAGACACAGCGAGACTAGTGGCAGGCTTGAGACCGAGTTGTGGCATTGACGGTGGTGGAGAGACACGCAAGTGATGCTGCAGAAACTGTTGTTTCTGCTGCTGCTCTTGCTGTTGTTGCAGTGCCTGCTGGAGCAGCAACGGAGTTTGTGGCGTGGCGGTTGGCTTTTCTGGCTGCTGCCCCTGCAGAATCTGTTGGAGCTGCGATTGAGAGTGCTGCGGCTGCGGCTGTTGTTGTTGCTGCTGTTGTTGTTGTTGTTGCTGCAGCTGTTGAGCCTGCTGTTGCAACAGTTGTGTGCGCATGGCCATTGGCAGTGACATGGCAGCCTGGTTTCAAACAAGTCAGGACACAGCAGTTTCGGTGAGGACCAAGAATATGACAGAACACGCTTACTTTGGCTCTTGGAACTCGGCTCAAACTAGCCACATAAAGGTGGCAGCAAGAGTCAATAACCAAGAATGCAATTGTGATCCTCTTTTCTATGGCCCAGATGCGCGGCACGCTGCCTTCGTTACATCATGCAGCTACATCTCCACACTGTGGAAAATCAAAAATCACACTTTCCTTGTACTTTTATACCAACTTTCGTACGGAACTGAACTTCATGCACCCACAAATTGGAGAATACGTCGAAACGTGAAGGAGTACGCGAAAACAGTTGTGCTGGTACGAGAGATTGTGGGTTTTAGTGCATGAACACCGAGTACAGAGAGTGCTGCAGGGAGGCTACGTGATGAGGGCAATGTGGCGCGCACATTGACCCAGAACCCCAGTTTCACACTCTTGGTTATGGACTTTTGTTGACATGCAATGCCAGTCTCTCTGTTGTACAGTCATGGTTTTTTATGGCAATGGAAGGCATGCACAATGGCATTTTAGATAGGTGGCTCCATAAGATTAAGAGAACCTCCCTAGAAGAGTCAGTGCACACGTTATACAGAGATACAAAATCCACAGCCTTGACTGAAAACAGGTGGCGGTGACTGAAACCTTGTCGTGACTGTGGAGAAGTCAGCTCAAGGAGATGCCAACAACACATGCGTGTACATACATCAGTAGGTAGCAACGCATGTGTGTACATACATCAGTAGGTAGCAACACATGTGTGTACATACATCAGTAGGTAGCAACACATGTGTGTACATACATCATCAATAGGTGACGACCAACTTACCTGGTTCAGAGATGACCAGTTTGCCGTGTTGCCACCAGTGGATGCAGACGACAAGATCTGCGCCAAACGCTGCTGCTGCTGCTGTTGCACGAGTGCCGACGATGCCGCCGAAGTTGTCGTTTGAGCAGCCGCTTGCTGTTGCTGTTGAAGAGATGTCTGTACCTTCTGTTGAAGACTCTGGAGCTGAGCCACTGCCTGCTGTTGTTGAAGTGACTGTGGTGTAGGTCTTTGTTGTGAGTCCTGCTGCTGTTGTTGCTGCTGCTGCTGTTGCTGCTGTTGTTGTTGATGCTGCAGTATCCGCTGAGCTGGTGTAAGCTGTTGCTGCTGCTGCGATTGTGCCTGCTGCTGAGCAGCTTGTTGCTGAAGTAAAAGCATCGAGGAATTGGCTTGTGCCTGCACTTGCGCCTGTTGCTGTGCTGGCTGTTGCTGCTGCTGTGAGCTCTGAAGGGCCTGAGGAGACGTTTGTTGCGCCTGTTGCTGCTGCTGCTGCTGTTGCAATTTCTGGAACATCACCAGTTGCTACAGCCATACAACAAACATAAATACAGTAGAGAGCTGTATTGCAAACCAGGCAGCCTGAACACAAGGGAGAGCAAGGTGCGGAGGGGAAAGCAATAAATAGTGCAAACTTTATGTGCGGGTGATAAGTCTGTGGACTGGACACTATGCAGCAGCAACTCTGGAACCATACACACCACACATGTAACAGTAGCTTGATTGCTGACCCCGACTCATTCTACACCAGCGGTATCACCGTGAAGATTATAAGGGTTGGTAGAAATGTCAAACAGTTCCCAGCCTTGCCCCGTTGCAGGGCTCGGCTATCCACTGCTGTATTGTTAAGCTGGCAGGGCGAGGCATGTGGTGTACATTCAGCTCACAACGAACAATGTTTTAAGCTACAGCGGAGCTGCTAGGGGGGATCCAATTACAAGTTTTGACTGTTGGTAAACCAAGCGATATTTTGATCAGATATCGATTCTGATATTGATCATATCTCCATATTGACCGTCCGTAAATACCGAAAAATTTAAAAGAATTTTTCCGTTTCTCCTCATACCCCCTAACGGACACATATGCATGCTGGCTCCTGCAAGGAAAGTGGAAAGCGTAACTTTATACGCGCGCACACACACACACCTGCCTACCTGTAATGACAAGCCGGTCATGGCCTTGGACTGACCAGCGGAAACTGTGGACGCTGCCGCAGCACTTGCTGCAGCTGCTGCCGCTACCGCAGCACCAGCATTAACAACACCATTCGGCTGCAGAGGCAAAAAACAGCAACAGAACGGTTGTCTCTATTGGGGCCTTCAGAAGTCAAGTCAAGAAAGATCATAATTATTATCATTGAGATGGCCAGGATCATTGATACAATCCACACTGAAGCAGGAAAGCCTGGAAAACAAACAACACAACACTCCCTACATGTCGTAATGTCACTATTTATATATTGATGTCAACACAGACAAAGTGGAGGAATAGAGAACTTACTAAAACTGGCTGTTGCTGTTTCTGTTGCTGTGTTTGTTGTTGCGGCTGTGCTTGTGATGACTGCTGCTGCTGTTGTTGTTTCTGCTGCTGCTGCTGTTGCTGCTGTTGTTGTAGCAACTGAGCAAACTGTGACACAAATGCACTGTTAGCAGTATGGCCACCATTCTGCTGTTGCTGCTGCAACAGCTGAGCAAACTGCGAGGCAAAAGCATTGTTGGCAGAACCACCAGAACTAGCAGCGGCTGCCATGACAGACTGCAGGACTGATTTAACCTGCTCCGGTTTGACACCAGGACGATTGGCGACTGCCGTCGCCACTACAGCTGCTGCGGCGGCCGGGGTCATTCCACTTTGTGTTGCAGCAGCAGCAGGAGTGGGCTGTTGCAAGGACTTGTTTTGTGTACCACTGCCCATTGCAGACTGCATCAGAGACTGCAGCACGGCCGCGTTAGCTGGTGGATTGCCCGAGTTGGCTGCAGCAATAGTACTTGTAGAAGTGGTAGGCTGTGAAGCCTGCGCTTGCTGCTGTTGTTGCTGCTGGCGCTTTTGAAGCTCCTGTTGCTGTGCCAATGCCTGCAACTGTGCTTGCTGATAGGATGATGCCGTCTGCGGCTGGGATAGCTGCTGGTTCGGTAAGGCTTGTTTCTGCATTTGTGCCTGCTGCAATGAAGACTGTTGCGAGGCACTATTTGACCAAGTTGCTGCTTGCATCGACAACTGCGGCTGACCTGGAGAAGGGCGAGCAGCAGTGTTCATGACACCAGACTGAGAAACAGCATGAGAGGGTGCAGGCGACGGAGACTGCCTAGCGAGGCCCGAAATTCCGGCAGCAGCCGCAGCAGCTGCATTGGCGGTGGCTGAACTTGGTGACACTGAGGATGATGGCTGAGGGTGTTGTTGCTGCTGCTGCTGCTGTGGAGGTTGTACACTATGTGGCACTGCAGGCGGACTGGGTTTCATGGTTGACGAGGCCGGGTCAGCAGTGTGCACGTGAGGTACAGACGGTGGCCGGGGTGCTATTCCACTGACAGATACAGAATGGGATGGTGGCCTAGGGGGAATGCTTGCCTGGCTGGATTGATCACCACCTGCAGTCAGCTGCTGCTGCTGTAGCTGCATCTGTTTCTGTTGCTGTAGCTGAAGTTGTAGCTGCTGCTGCTGCTGTAGCTGTTGTTGCTGATTGTGGGCCAGTGCTACTAGGATATGCTGGCGTTGAGCGTTGGTCAGCTGACCCGATGCCAACATTTGCCGGAGCTGCATGATCTTATTCGCATCTAAGGTCAGTGTAGTTCCTTGCTGCCCCGCCTGCTGCTGCTGTTGCTGTTCCGCTTTGACTTGTGATGGAGGCGAGATGGGATGACTTTGTGATGTTGTGGACATATTCGTATCACTCCCCACATACCTATTCTGTCCCGCAACAGCAGCAGTGGCCGCATCTGGTAACGTAGGGTGGCTAAGAGGTGGACTACCAACAGACTTTCGAATGGCAGCTGAACCTACCGGGGCGACATGGGACTGGGAAGTTGCTTGGGTCTTGAGGTCCTGTTGATTCCAGTGAGTGGCTGCACCACCCACTGCTCCTCCTCCTCCTCCTCCACTCCGTGCCAAATGAGCCTGTATTGCTTGTTTCTCGAGAAGAAGTCGTTGCTGCTGTTCGGCAAACGTTCTTTGCTGCTCTTGAGCGACAGCCGTGACTTGTTCTGCCGCTCTTAACGCTGCAGAAATGTTACTGCCTGCTGCGGAGAGTTCTGGTTTTACGCCGGCAGAGGCGGGCACGCCTGTCGCAACAGAAGAAACTGGGGCTGCTCCTGGTGCCTGGCCATGAGGAGGCCGGCTCTGCACCACACTCTGAGCGCTAGTAGCTACAGCACTTGTGCTCACAACCTGGGCACTTGCGAAGGAAGGTGGCAATGGCGAGGGCACAGAAACTCCACCCGCTACCGCTGACCCTGCAGCCGCTGTTGCCTGCTGCTGCTGGAGATCAGTTCCAGATCGCGCCTGTTGGTGCTTCTGGGAAGCCAGTAATTGCTGTTGCTGGAGAAGCAATCTCGACAGTTGGTCTGAAGCTGCTGATGCAGCTCCAGCAGCACTGGGACCAGTGGCAGAGGTGATGCTAGCCTGCTGCACCGTTGGATGTTGTAACTGTGTTTGGAGAGCTGGTCGCATTGCCTGTTGTGAGTGTGATGGAGGTATGGAGTGTGCTGAATGAGGTCGTACCTGTGCTAAAGACGGACTCGTTTGCTGCTGCTGTTGAGACGGCTGCTGAACATTCATGCTACCTTGGGTAGTTGCCTGTCCACTCATAGACTGAGCTTGCGCCTGCTGCTGTTGGCGCTGCTGCTGCTCTTGGAACTCCTGCTGCTTCTTCTGCATCCATATCTGCACCCTCTCTCGATCCTGTGGCGGCAAGTTGCGAAGATGCTCCATGACCTGCTGGTTAGTGGCACCCGCCATCAGACTGTGCTGCTGCTGTGGTGCCACTTGCGCTGGCTGCTGTGACATCTGTTGCTGCTGAGGCGGGGTTTGTTGTGTTGGCTGCTGCTGTGGTTGACCTATATTATTCGTTGGTGCTACAGGAGCAATAGAAAGAGCAGTAAGAAACACACATGGATTTAAAACAGCTCTACATTCCACATAAAGACAACAAAACAGCTCCAATGCACTATTAACTTCATACAACCCGATGCACAAAACATGAATCGGCATACTAGCAATGGCCGCAATGACATGATGCTATCAATCCGATGGGCCAAGCAGTGACCAGTGATGGCCGCAATGACATGATATCAATCCGATGAGCCAGTGACCAGCAATGGCTACACTGACACCAGGCCGGGCGGCATACAGCCGTCAATGACATGGCTGTGCTGCTGCAGATGTGCCTACTAACCAAACTGAGTATACTGCGAATGAGACTGAGCGCCATGGACGTGTGCTGGTGCTGCTGCCAGTGATGCCGGAGCCTGAGCTGCCAGTGCATGATGTGCAGGCAGGCCAGCAGGACCCAGCGACGACGGTGGCAGGTGACCGGCTGTGACATGGTGGCAATTTGAAAGGCATGACGGTGCAAACACACGCGCGCGCACACACACACACGGGAACTTAGGGCCGGTCTATAGTATAGGTACATGTATTTCACAACACTAATACATGTACAGAATATACGGGTCTCATGATGGTCATTCCTCATCAAACATGTTTGCCATGAGAGAAAATCATTCAAGCCCATAAATGGCATACTAGTATCAGCAAGAGTACATAACCCCCCAGAGTGTGCAACGCCTGATCCAGCTCTGCATAGGGTCTTGGTCGAGCGGAATCGGATCTTTGCGTCATAATACCGTACACATCTGAGGGGAACCCGGGGAGTCGCGGGTACTCTTGGATCAAAAACAATGGTACCCTGCCTCGAGACCGGCCTTGCGCTGGTGTGGAGTGTACGCATGACATCAGAAGATCCGATTCCGCTCGACCAAGACCCTATGCAGAGCTGGATCGGCGTTGCACACTCTGGGGGGTTATGTACTCTTGGTATCAGACAACAATCACAGTTGAATAGATGCTCGACATTTTCTCTCGCATATATGCACGTCAACCTCTTCCAGCCTCGGGCCCGCGATCGGAAATTCCACATCACAATCACGGCTACAAAGTATACGTACTGGGATTGTACCCACCCCGGATATCAGTGAAATATGAACACCTCGACTAAGGGGCGAGCACGGCTGGGACGTGCAGCCTGTGTGCAAAGACCACGTTTCGCGTATCACATGCCAGTTTTATTCCCTCAGGTCAGTGTCTACGGTGATCGTTGGCATCACCTAGCGCTGGACAAGATGTAAACACTAACCTTGCATGGCTGCTATTGTAGCCATTTGCGGAGAGCCAGTCAATCCGGACCGTCCAACATTAGCCTGCGACTACACACAGATATACACAGACAGACAAAGGCACACACCAACCCCAACCCGACATTGTTGCAATACAGTTCAAAAGGCACCAGAGAGAGAGAGAGAGAGAGAGAGAGAGAGAGAGAGAGAGAGAGAGAGAGAGAGAGAGAGAGAGAGAGAGAGAGAGAGAGAGAGAGAGAGAGAGAGAGAGAGAGAGAGAGAGAGAGAGAGAGAGAGAGAGAGAGAGAGAGAGAGAGAGAGAGAGAGAAAGAGAGAGCGAGAGCGAGCGAGCGAGAGAGAGAGAGAGAGAGAGAGAGAGAGAGAGAGAGAGAGAGAGAGAGAGAGAGAGAGAGAGAGAGAGAGAGAGAGAAAGGTGACTGCCTGACACACTGCCAAGGAAAAAGAACAGGAGAAGACAATGATGAATACCAGGACTCAGCATCATTCACAGTCTATACCAACACAACAGAGAGACACAGGATAGCATGCATACACACCTACGTACTTCCGAAGTACCACACATACTTTCCCACTGTCATAAACTGGTTACGTGGGTCTCCCTGGGAGAGGGGAGAGATATTCAAAAGGAATTTAGGAAAGATGACTCAATGCACACACAGGCACGCACACACACACACAGGGCATCTGCACAGCAGTTACACCGTGTAGTGCAATACATGTGAATACTTACTTGGCTAATGAAGGTGCTTCCTTGCTGGCTAAATCAATGAGAGAACAAAATAAAACATATCCCAACATCATTCAGGAACATGAAGTGAAAATACACTGCCGTGAAGGTTGGATACAATGGCACTACAGCAGGGAGACAAACATGCCCTTTTCTGATGCCACTATATCCGATCCTGGTACTGTATACTAGAACCACTGTGGCGCGTGTGCAGAATTCCATCGTCACTGATGGTCTATAGGTATTTCCAATGCTGTTTTATCCAAGCATTACTCAACACACACAGTACCTTTTGGATATCTTGAATGAAACAAAAAGCACAAGTACAGTGCCAGTCGATGAAAAGCAGAGTTGTGCGTGAAACGGCGCAAAGCGCCCTGTAACTTAGTACCATGTGCCATATCGTGCACCCAAGGACGATTCCGCTTCATAGACTAGGACTACGTTTGGTTTATCCTATGTCAATATGCATGCCATGATACAGTCAGTATCGCCTATAGCGTTGGTGTTTGATTTTGAGCATTTTATCACTATAAGCGATATATCACTATGACCGATACCAAGAGTACATAAACCAGAGTGTGCAACTGTGCATATCAGATCTGAAACAGCGCAGTTCGTGCACTACGTCACCCTGATGAGGTCAGCCAAGCCGCGACTTGCGTACAGCTCAAATTTTCATGTTTCATAGCCCGGAAATCAGCCAAGTTTGCTTGATTTTACATCAATCACTATAATCGATGCAAAAATAATGTAATAAATGTCTTTTGAAATAAGAATTTGATCACTATAGGCGATATATTACTATACGCGATAACTGTGTATACTTAGTTATGGCAAATGAAAATGAATTTGAGAAATTGATCACTATATCCGGTATAATACTATAGCCGCCAACCTTATACTCGATACGTACTGTACTATGATTGCAGAATGTTCTGAACAATGCAGGTAGAGTGCAAACATACGCTTGGGCGACACAGATATACATGCATGTGTATATGTGTATGTGTGTGCTCGTACGTTTGTGATTACTCGCAAATTTGGAAATCCATCCATCCAATGCGCGAGGACACACACGTACACACAAACACACACACATCTCAGACCTGCCCATCGCGGAAGCGATGATAGCGAACAGCTATGTTAGACATAGCACTTGTGCTGGGATTACACCATTCAACAGCTTGCAAGGCTGATGAATTCACAGCCACTAATTTTTAGATTCACACACACACACACACACACACCATGAGCATATGCACAACCAGATGCATGCGCACACATACATGTACATCCACCCACCCTTACAGTTACAGTAAGTTACCACCACACATGCAATGCATGCATTCTCTAACTAATCGTTGTACAAAACTGAAAAGTGGTGTTGTTGAGACAGAACCATGACTGGAAAGCATGTATGGTAAACAAGCTTCACAACCACAGTGTTTACAAAGTGAATGAATGATGGGAATTTCGCACACATAATGACAAAATTAACTCTGCACATATTATTTTGGTTATGCTAATAACACCATGAAACAAGACATCAGTCATACATTTGCAGAGCACGTGAACGGTGATTGGTTCGTGGACGCACTTCTCATACACGAAGCGTTGAAATTTCTATTTATACCACTGATAATTATTATCATCTTGGGAGCAGGTTGCCAATCTTGTGGCTTGGTATGACTGGAATAAACAAAATTGAGAAACTTGAGCATCGTACACATTCGGTTGTACACAGCATCCTTTGAATGAGGTTTCGTATAATGAGAAGTGTGCCCACGTTTCCAAACATTCTCGTTCGAACAAGGAACAAATTCCGCATCATTTTCGTAGATAGCACTGACCTGCTGTTACTCAATGCATTTCGGCCGTCCGCCATATGCTGCCCTCCAAAACTAGCAAAGACGCAAAACACGCGCACGCGCACTCTCAAAGTTATCCCCTATCTTTGAAAATACTCATTTCGAACTGTTTCTTCTTTCTGCAAAAGGCGATAGATTCAAACCCACACGTACACATGCACATGCATTGTGCTCCCAATCACGACCCCTTGTACATATACATCATGTGCATTGAAATGTGTGCAGAATGTATCACTTCTTCTTCATTCGACAAGGCAACATGTTGAAGTTGGACAGGCCATTGCGTGTGCTCACCTTGTTGTTCCCGGCTCATGCACGGGGGAGTGGAGAGAACACAAACACAACCCAACAGGCGCTGGGCCTGCGGTTCTAGCGAGCAGACAGTCGAGGTTTGGCGATTCGAATCTCCCTGGGCCCCGCCGTGATCCGCTTCACACACACAGTTTCGCTCTGTACCTGCACAGTACAGTCAACAATAGTGTGTGTGTGGCGGACATCTTGGTTCAATGCCAAGCTCGACCAATCAGCGATCAAGTGATTTCCGCGCACGCGCGTTGCATGTGTCGCGTCATCGATACCATGACGAAAAATGCGTTGGCGACGAGCTTTACGAGTTATCGCTCGCCGGGTATTTCTTTGCATGCAGCTAGCGCTATTAAAGGGAAACTGAACGCCAAAAATAAGTATGGCTTATCCGAAGGAGAATTGGGCACTGATTCCGATGAGCTATGTCTCGAGCCGATCAGAGAAGAGGAACTGTGTCAAATTTCATAAATAACACCTCCCATATTTGGAAATTGGCCTTGATGACGTGCGTACTGCTTAGCTGTCACCATGCTGTGCATGTTCAGCAGTGTAATTGAATGGAAGAAAACAATTACTTTGGTGTTTTGCAGCTCTGTTTCGTTCCCTGACGGTAACCAAATCTAGATGTAGGAATCTGTTGAGCAGGAGAGTGACACATGTCTTCCCGAAGGCTGTCCAGGCTGCAGTGGTGATGAAGAAGACACGATCATCACCCCGAGATCGATCGTAGCGAATTGGAAAACTCATGGTGAATTTGCTTCCACTCCAAGGCAATGTCGAGGTATGAAGGGTGCTTGTACTGCCTTCCAAAGTGAAGAGGAGATGAACATGGCTTTGCATAGCTGTTGTTCTATGCCAACTTACCTACTCTTGCTGGTACCGTAGTGGCATAAAATTTCGTGGACGAACAACTCGAGTCACGAGTGGCTAGTGAGCAACACTAACAGGTGAGATTTTTCAATTCGACAAAAATTGTTTTTGTTTGAGAACTGACAGTGGCAGTCATTAGACTCAGTAGGTGTCTTTGCTGCTTCTTTCCCTTCATTGGTAGGGTTGTGCTTGAATAGTACAAGTGCTTGAAGTAAAATAAAATAAATAGAACATGTGGAACATAAATCTAATCAAGCATCAGTACATGTATTGCGAAGTTCAACTTCAAAGCACATGAAATCACAATGATCACGAAGTTTATAATCAGGAGTACACCCTGTGTTCAGCGAACACATACACACATGCTGTATTGCGCACACACATGTACACATGTGCGTGCACCCCCACCCCATCCGGCCACAGACACACGCATGCAGCGCGCACATCCATACACATGTGCGTGTACCCCCCCCCCCCCCACATACACACACTCCTACCCATACACATGTGCGTGCCCCCCCCCCCCCCCACACACACACGTGTGCACATACAGATACACAAACACACACGCACGAACACACACACACAAGATACGTGTAAGTGTACATGGTCTTCCTGGTGCAGATGCTGAGCCAGCACAATGGAAAATACCTCCATCAAGATGCTTGATCAAGTGTTGTGATAATGGCACTGTTTGTTTGTTTTTACAAAGACGTGTCGGAAAGATTACAATGCATTATAATTCATAATTGTTCTTTGCCTTGTACTGTGCAGACCAGAATGCTTCGCTATCAACTCCTGGCTTTCCATCGGCATGGTGTTCAGCTGCAGCGGCATCTGGTCCGGGGAGTTCAAGTTGCTGGATGGCTGCACTGACACAGGATGGGTTTGCGTTGGCAATGCGATACGGCAGTCATCCCACATCACGAGCGACATGTTTATGTAATTTATATTGTCGCTCGTCCAGCAACGTCAAGGCTCTGCATGTAAACACAGGAGAACACCATAATACTACTCAGGGGATAATAATTTTGGATATCAATTTCGTGACAATTATTAGATTCACACAATATTCACAACGTATGCAACACGATGCTGTCTATTGACACTACTTCAAACTGAAGTCCTCACTACTCCTCTCCCGTTTTCATCTCCCTCTACCTTATGAATACTCTGCATTACTGGTTTTGTTTCTACCCTTTCCATTGCTGCCAGCTCCCAGTCTTTTTCAATGCACAGCACCACCTTGACAGTCATTTTTGTGATTTGATGTACACATACTTTGAAGTTCAAATTCGAATTACATGATCAGATTTTTGTTCCACATTTTCTATTTATTTTTACTTCAAGCACAACCCTACCGATGATGGGAAAGAAGCAGCAGAGAGACACCTACTGAGTCTAATGACTGCCACTGTCAGTTCTCAAACAAAAACAATTTTTGTCGAATTGAAAAATCTCACCTGTTATTGTTGCTCACTAGCCACTAGTGACTAGAGTTGTTCGTCCACGAAATTTGCAATATGCCACTACGGTACCAGCAAGAGTAGGTAAGTTGGCATAGAACAACAGCTATGCAAAGCCATGTTCATCTCCTCTTCACTTTGGAAGGCAGTACAAGCACCCTTCATACCTCGATATTGCCTTGGAGTGGAAGCAAATAATTCACC